TTTCTTTCATAAAGGTTATTTGCAATTTTTCCCTCTATCCTCTAATCATCAGCATGTTATACTCACATATAATCTGGGACCTAAACAGGTAGCTTCTTCACATGAGTTACATGATTCTTAGTTATTCAACCTAACTGGATGAAACAGTCAAAGTGACACACGTTATACCATGTTTACGAATAAAGGTAACATACTTCATACGAAGAAGGTAAATCGCCCAAGTGAAGCTTTCAGAAAAATTTTAATGTAAGAATATCTTGTCTTGGGCTTTCTTGTTTTCTCTTTTTCTGGTTCTTTGCCACTTTGGCACTGTCCTCTTCACCACACTTAAATACATTCCATTATTCTCCACTATAAAAAAAATGGTCTCTCAGAAAATGCTCTTGGATACCCACAGAAAAAAAAAAAAAAAAAAAAAAAAGAAAAACAAAGCCAGAACCTCAAGGTCTGACAAAGGCGGAAAGGTAATTCAATGGAAAAAGGATAGTTTTTCCAACAAATAGTGCTGGAACAATGAGACATCTGTATACCAAACAAAATGAAACCAGGCAAAAATGTCTCAACATTGATCATGGGCTGGTCCCCGTCGCTCAAGCCTATAATCTTAGCTACTCAAGAGGCTGAGGTGGGAGGACTGTGTCAGGATAGGAGTTTGAAACCAGCCTTGGCAACACAGCGAGATCCCCATCCCTAAAAAATGTGAAAATTTAGTTGGGCATAGTGGAATGTGCCTGTAGGCCCAGCTACTCAGGAGGCTCACTTTAAAGCTACCGTGGGCTACGATCAAGTCACTGCAGTCCAGTCTGGGTGACAGAGTGAAACATCTTATCTAAAAAAACAAAAATGAAAACAAAGAGATCATAGACTTAAATATAAAATGCAAAACTCTTGGAACATAGGAAAAAAATCTACATGACTTTGGGTTTGGTGATAACTTTTCAGACATAACACCAAAAGCAGGATCCATGAAAGGAAAACTTAAGTTGGACTTCATTAAAATTGGAAACTTTCTGGCTATGTGCAGTGGCTCATACCTATAATCCCAGCACTTTGGGAGGCTAAGGTAGGAGGAGTGCTTGAGCCCAGGAGTTTGAGACCAGCCTGGGAAACATGATGAGACCCTGTCTCTACAAAAAATTAAGAAATCAGCAGAGCGTGGTGGTGTGTGCTTGTTGTCCCAGACATTTGGGAGGCTGAGGCGAGGGGACTGCTTGAGCCCAGGAGGTCAAGGCTACAGTGAGCCGTGTTCACGCCACTGTACTCTGGCCGGGACGACACAGCGGGACCCTCTAAAAACAAATGAATAAATAACTTCCGCTCTGCAAAGTACGCTGTTAAGAGAATGAAAAGACAAGTCACAGACTTTGAGAAAATATTTACAAAAACAAATAACTGATAAGGAACTGGTATCCAAAACATAGAGTTCTTAAAGCTTAGCAATTAAAAAAACTCCAAACAACCCAATTTAAAAATGGGCAAAAGATCTGAACAGATATCTTACCAAAGAAGATATACAGATGGCAAATAAGCATACGAAAAGATGTTCAACATCATATGTCATTAGGGAATTGCAAATTAAAACAACAAGATACTACTATAGCTGTCTAGATTTCAGAAAGGCTAAAATCCCAAACACTGACAACATGAAATGCTGGTGAGGATGTAGAACAATAGAAATTCATTCATTACTGGTGGGAATGCAAATGGTATGGCCAGCCTGGAAGATACTTGGCAGTTTCTTACAAAACTGAACATACCTAACCACATGATACAGGAATAATGTTCCTTTGTATTTACCTAAATGATTTGAAAACTTCACACAAACACCTGCACACAAATGTTTATTCATAATTGTCAAAACTTGGAAGCAAACAGGATGTACTTCAATGTGTGAATGGATAAACAAACTGTGATGCAGCCATACAATGGAATATTATTCAGCAATTAAAAAGAAGTGAGCTATCAAGCCATTAAAAAGAAGGAATCTTAAATGCATGTTGCTAAGTGAAAGAAGCCAGTCTGGAAAGGCCATATACTGTATGATTCCATCTACATGCTATCTGGAAAAGGCAAAGCTATGGAGACAGTAAAAAGACGAGTGCTTGATAGGGGTTCAGAGATATGGATGAATAAGTAGAACACAGATGACGTTTGGGGCAGTGAAATTAATCTGCATGATACTACAATACTGACATCAGTCATTTGCACATTTGTCAAAACCCGTAGAACTGTTCAATACAATGAATGAACTTGAAGGCAAGATATGAACTTGAGTGCATAATAATGTATCAATGTCAGCTCATCGATTGTAACAAATGTACCACACTAATGCAAGATGTTAATAACAGGGGAGATGGATAGGGTGAGGGAGCATATGGTAATACTCCTTACTTTCTGCTCAATTTTTCCGTAAAAGCTAAAACTGCTCAAAAACAAAGTTTGTTAATTTTTTTTTAAGTCAAAAAAAAAACACAGGCAGAACCTCAAGGACTAACAACAGTTACAGTCATAGAAGGAGAGGAGAGAGAATGGATTAAAAAAAATTTTGCAGAAATAATAAAGAAGAAATTTCCAAATTTGATTTAAAAATCGTAAATTTAGATTCAAGCTTAGTAAACCCCAACTCTACACAAAACACTCCACACTGCCTTCCCCAGCAGCTTGACACATCATTGTCAAACTTTTGAAATCCAAATATAACAAAAACATATAAAGCATCTGGAAATAAAAACGACATACTGCATACATGGAAATGACCCCTGACTTCTCCTCAGAAACAACGGAGCCTAATTTCATTTGTCTCTCTACAAAGTTCCTTTTATATGTTTCTCCCTATATCTCATATTCTAAGAAAGCACTTGTGAGAGGGCAGTGCTAGTAGTGAAATATGCAGTATCTATAAAGGAAGGGTGTAGATACTGGGGCGTGGGAAAATGAAAAACAAAAAAAGAACCTCCCCTTTACCTATATTCCATCTTACTTGATGCTCCCAGACTGTAAAGATTAGCTCAAGGAAGGCCTTAACTGAACTAATACAATTATTTTGATGAGAGAAAATGTTCTTAAATATGTATTTTTGGTTTTGGAGGTTTTTTTTGTTTGGAGACAGGGTATTTCATTGTCACCCAGATTGGAGTGCAGTAGCATGAGCTCGGCTCACTGCAGCCTCGACCTCCTGGGCTCAAGCAATCCTCCACCACAGCCTCCCGAGTAGCTGGGACTATAGGCGAGTGCCACCATGCCTGGCTAATTTTTGTATTTTTTGTAAAGACTGGGTTTCTCTATTAAATATATTTTAAAAAATAATCTGGGATGCGCAGATACAAACACTATAAAGGTTTAAAGTTTAAAGGGTTTTTCTTTTAATTTCATAAACTGGATACCATATCAATCTTCATTTGATGTCAACTTTCTGTGGATTTTTAAAGGTCTAAAACTTAACAATCTTTAACACCAAATTGAATTCTCATTTATTTTAAAACACTCGAAAATTCAGAAGCTAAAGATTTCCAAAAACCAAAGACAATGAAGAGACATATTAACCCAGAGTGTAGTGAGTTCAAGAAGTTCCAAGAAAGGGCTTGAGAAGATGTGCTCATTTGACAGTACAGGAAAAGCAACACTTGGAGAGAAACAGAAGCTCTACCTTTCTATCAAATTCAGTCAGGAAGGGCATGGGCAAATGAAATCCACGTTGCAGGAAACTGTAAACATTGCATTTGGTCTCAGAATGCCGATTTTTCCCTGGATTTGTTCCCACACAACTTTGGTTCTTCTAGTTTTCAGATCCCCCTAACCAATGCTTAGCTGGCATGTCCACTTGGCTGCTTCACAAGCGCCAAAAAGTTTTCTGCCTAAAACTGAATTCTCAATCCTCCTTTCCACATCTATTCCTTTCCCAGTTTTCCTTACTCCCTAAGTGTTATCATCATGAACACCGTTCACAAACCAGATACTTTTCATCATTCTTAACATTCCCTTCTTATATTTACCCCTCCACATCCAATCTATGTTCTATCAAATTCGCCTCCAAATCTACCTCGACTCACCCCTCCCCTTTTCTTCCCAACTACACTGCACCACGCGACTCAAACCCATCAATTGCTGTTGCCTGGACCTCTACAATAGATCCTTAAATGGTCTCTTCCCCATTACAAAGACCTCCCCAAATCCGGACAGAGTGGAAATCAGATCCTGTCATTATCCCGATTTAAATCCTTGTATTGCCTTCCATTGAATATGGAACAAAACACCACCTTCTTACAGAGCCCACAGAGCCCACAGGGCCCTGGAGCACCAAAATGCTTGGTTCTTAGATCCTGCCAAGCTTTTTCCTGTCTCAGGGCCTTGATAGGTGTTCCACCTGAATGCTCTTCCACAGGTACATCCTTAGAGTAAGATTCCACTGACTCTGCCCTTTTGTTTTGAAAAGGAAGTTATTACACAGTTGTTTTAAACAAGTTCGTAATCCTATACTCTAGGTAAAGAGTGACTGCTCTAATCGAAAGCAACAGAAGGGAAAAGGGAGTAGGGCAGGTCTTCCAGCAGAACATCAGCTACCATTTCTGCAGGCCAGGCCACTCCCAGGTGACAAGGAACATCTATTCACCCGGGAAGCCCTGACCACCGAGGACCCGCAGCAGGCGCCCGCGACCTGTGGCGCCGCCAAATTTTTCCTAATACTTGGACTCGAACTAGTGGAGTCACTGTTAGGGAAAGGAAGGACATCCAAGGTCACACGCAAGCAAACTTTGATCTCAACTCGTCAACAGGAAATTGCACCGAAATCGCTGTCGCTGGCGCCTTACAAGTAAGGGTTTTCTCCTTAACCCAAACAAGCCTTTCGGGCTGGATTTTTATCTCGTCGGCTCCCAAACCCAGGAGGCTGAGTGAACTTCACCGCATGACCCATGACTCTCCGCGGCGGCCAGAAGCGGAGGCCTGGCCTGGGGAGGGCAGGACCCCGAGGGGCAAGGAGAGGAGGAGGGGGACGCGCTCACCTCGGAGCAGAGCCATGGTGGCGGCTGGGTCCTCGACGGCGCGGACTTCTGGTCTGGGGGACGCTGAACGGCTGCCCACAGTCACCAACAGTTCAAGAGAGTGGGTGACGCCCCGCGAGCCACGCCCCTGCCCTTTCACCTATTTCCAAGGGCTACCGAGCTGGGCCCCACCGTAAGAGGATCGGGCCCCACCGTAAGAGGATCCGACCCCACGAGCCAGAGCCCAGGGGGCGGGGCTCGGGGAGACCACAGCGCGCCTTGAGAGCGGACATTTTCCTGACATCCTCGTTTTTAGATTTTCTCCTTCTGTTTCCAAACCAAGAGAATTTGGTTTGACACTTCTCACCCATCATATTCCTGCCCCGATAGGCAATGACTGTTCCCCTTGGACTCCGCTACAGATACTGCTGAAACTACAAACGAGAGACAGGACGCTAAATGCTGGCAAGTGCCCACCCGGCCTGGGCCGGGTAGCTGGCTGCCGTCGGCTGGGGGCAAGACCGGAAGTGCGGGGGGGGGAAACGGACGTGCGGGGGAAACCGGAAGTCCTGGGGGCCGGCGGCTGCGTAGTCCGTTGGGCAGAGGCTCAGGCTGCCAAGCGGGACGCGGGGTCGGGTTTGGGTACTGTACTGGGGGCGAGGCGGAGAGGTGGGCGGCAGTTGGGGTGCGGCAAGTGTAGTAGGCTAGGGCACTTTCGGGTCCCCATTGCAGCCCCCGGATGAGCCCACAGTATTTTCCTTATATGATCAGGTCCGATTGCGGGCCGCTTGCCCGGAGCCTGAGAGGATTATGAAAACGTGGCGAGCGGAGTGGTGCCGGGGGACCCGGAGCTGGGGCGTGAGGAACAGCGGGTGAGGCTGGGCGGGAGGGAAGTCTAGTGAGGCCTCTGCCGCGCTTACTGTGAGCTCTGGCCGATGATGACGAGACCACTGCGCAATCTGAGTTCTGGGAACCAGGTGATGGAGTGTGTTCTGAGAACAGACTGAGGCCAGGCGAGCAGGAGGCGGCCGGTGCAGGGGAGAGGCGGAGAGCCCCTCGGTACCAGGGCTTATAAGGCCGGGCTGCCTAGGGCTTTGTGGCGTGGCGGTGGTGGGTGGCAAGGACGGTTTCTCTGAGTCGTCAGCGAATGCCACCCTTTGAATCCTGCTTTTCAAACGGTTTGGTGGTAGTCTTGCGGTGTTTTTTCTCAAGTTTACAGAAAAATGGAAAGACTTGTACAGTGCACACATATCGACCACCTGTGTACCCCAATTGTTAACATTTTACTATATTGCTATCCACCTGTTCTTCCATCAAACCATCTTATTTTTTAAATTATTTTATTTTATTTATTTATTGAGACGCAGTCTCGCTTTGTCGCCCAGGCTGGAGTGCAGTGGCGCAATCTCGGCTCACTGCTACCTCCCTGGTTCAAGCGATTCTTCTGCCTCAGCCTCCTGAGTAGCTGGGATTACAGGCATGTGTCACCACGCCCGGATAATGTTTTGTATTTTTAGTAGAGACGGGGTTTCACCGTGTTAGTCAGGATGGTGTTGATCTCCTGACCTTGTGATCCGCCTGCCTTGGCCTCCCAAAGTGCTGGAATTGCAGACGGGAACCACCGCGCCCAGCCCCATCTTACTTTTTTTTTTTTAACGCAGACCTTAGTACTCTACACCCATGAAGACATCAGCATACATTAAGTATTCATTTACAGTTATTTTTAAGGCAAAATATCCATGCAATTAAATGGATAAATCTTAGACAAGCTTCGCAAATGTGTTCACTTTTGTACACGCTTTTCTATTCAATTTGCCCTCCACATATTTAAGAAAGGTTAAGTATCACAACTTCCCACCGCAGACCTCCATCGGCAGGTCTTCCCAAATGTACTGTTTTCTCTAATGGGAAATGTCACTAATGAGTGGATTCTAAAACCATTCAGGGAAAGGTTTACATATATTAAAACATGCAAATATATGAGAGAATGTTTACATAGTCTCCAAGTCTCATGAAGAAGAAAGGGTATCTTGGCAATGGAGAAATCTTCCAGGTATTACTTCACCAAATGATGAAGTAATGGTGTCCCATCACCAATAATGGGATAAACTGACTTCATGCCTGCCCCCCCTTTACAGTGACAACACAATTTCACTTGCATAGGATTTCCCCTGAAAACATCTGGCCTGAACCTAATTATGAGGAAACAATGAGACAAATCCACATGGAGGTACATTCTACAAAACAACCGACCTGAACTCTTTAAAAACATCAGTGTGGTGAAACCAAAAAATAGCTAGGAATAGTATCACATTAACGGAGACTAAAGATGTGACAGATATTATATGGGATTCTTAATTAAAACCTGGATTTTAAAAACTCTAAAAGACCATATTAGGACAATTGGAGACATACAAATTATAGATGACATGGTAATATTGACATTAATTTTCCTGATCATGATATTGTAGTTATGTAGGAGATTGTTCTTTGTTCTTAGGAAATACATGCTGAAATAGGGGTGAAGAATCATGAGGCCTGCAACTAACTCTCTAATGACTCGAAAAAATACATATACAGTTATGCATTGCTTCACCACGAGAATATATCCTGAGCGATGTGCTATTAGACGATCTCATTGTGTGAACATCATAGAGTGTTCTTACACAAACCTTGATTGTAGCGCCTACTACACACCTAGGCTATATGGTACAGCCTGTTGCTCCCAGGCTACAAACCTGTACAGCATGTTACTATACTGAACACTGTAGGCAGTTGAAACACAATAGTAAGCATCTGTGCATCTAAACATAGGATATAGAAAAAATATTCCGATTTTATGAGACTACTGTCATATGTATTCTGCCATTGACTGAATCGTTGAAACATGGTCATGCAGTGTATGTATGGTCATCCAGTGATTGTACACTGGCAGAGAAAGAAAAAGCAAATATGGCAAAATATTACCAACTGGGGAATCCAAATGAAGAGTATACTATTGCTCATTATTCTTTTTTCTTTTCTGTTCTGTTCTTTTGAGACAGGATCTCACTCTGTTGCCGAGGCCGGAGTGCAGTGGCATGATCTCGGCTCACTGCAACCTCCACCTCCCAGGTTCAAGCAATTCTCCTGCCTTAGCCTCCCAAGTATCTGGGATTACAGGTGCATGCCACCCTGCCTGGCTAATTTTTGTATTTGTATTTGTAGGAGAGACAGGGTTTTGCCATGTTGGCCAGGCTAGTCTCAAATTCCTGACCTCAGGTGATCTGTTCATCTCGGCCTCTGAAAGTGTAGCATTAGAGGCATGAGGCACTGCTCCCAGCCCATTATTCTTTTTCTAAGAGGGGAGTCTTGCTTGCTATGTTGCCGGGGCTGTCCTCAAACTCCTGGGCTCAAGGGATTCTCCTGCCCCAGCCTCCTGAGTAGCTGGGACTATAGGCGTGTACCACATTCTTCTATTTTTGCAACTTTTCTGTAGGTTTTAACTCTTTCAAAATACAAGTTGGGAGAAAAAATGTCCTTCAAGTAAGCTACAAGATTGCTTGAAACAAGTTATTTTTGAAAATATTTAGTACTTTTCAGGTTTACATCATATTTAGGCAGGTATATATTCTTGTAATTTCAATATGTATATTAAAATTATTTTATAATTTTTCTCTACATGTGGAATCTTTCATGAGATGTAAAGTTATTGTTCTATTCTTAGGCATTTAACTTTCAGTATTTTTAGAAATGCAATATTGTTGTTTCCATACTTATTTTCCTATGCTTAAACACAGTTTCTCCTGCCTTCCTATAACACTAAAAATTGATGGTGGCTTAAGCCATAGTGGCTTTAGAAGTTTCAGTAATGGAAACTGGGAAAAGCTGATGAACTCAGTACGGCCCAGGGGAACTTTTAAAAATGAGTACATGAATCTGAATGAATGAGACAAGTGAATTTGCTGATCTTGAGTAGCTTGGAAAGTTATGTGTGCCCATTGTTAATCCAATTGCTTCGGAAATAGCTTCAATTTTTGTTAGAAGGCAAATATTGAATGTGGTTTTATCCTTACAACACATACTAACTCTTCAGAAAGTTCAAGTTGCCAACCAAGAACATCAGTTGAATGAAATTGTTAGCAGCAGCAAATCTGCATGGGTCTGCAGCAACTCACTTCTTGCCTCCTCAAAGGAAAGAAGCTTAAGGCAGAGTGAGAGACCAAGGCAAGTTTTTGAGCAGGAGTGAGAGTTTATTAAAAAGTATTGGAACAGGAATAAAAGTAAGTAAAGTACACTTGGAAGAGCGCCAAGCGGGCAACTTGGGAGATTCAACTCTGCCTCCTGACTCTTGATTTGGAGATTGATACATTGGTATGGTTCTAGGCCTTGCATTACTTCTCCCGATTCTTCCCTTGTGGTGGGCTGTCCGCATGCTCAGTGGCCTGCCAGCGCTTGGTAGGGGCGGCATGCGCAGTGTGTTTGCTGAAGTTGTGCACATACTCACTTGAGACATTCTTCCCTTACCAGTCATGTTCCTAGAGGAAGGTCATATACCAGTTAAACTCCACCATTTTGCCTCTCAGTGAGCATGTTTGAGCCCACTCTCCCAAAATCTTATCCAGAAGCTGCTGATCACCAGATGCTAGTATTTTCCATCTATAGGGAAAATGCCTTTCCCTGACACCAGGTGAGACCAATGATTATTTTGGAGAGATAGTTTCACAACTGCCTGACCATCACCTGAAGGTCGCCTGACATTCCTGGATGGGGTGGAGGAGGTCCTCTCCTGTCCTGCTCAAGTATGCCTAGCTACCTATTCTAATGCAGACAGAAAGTAATACAGACACCAATTTGCCAAACTCCCCTCATTTTAAGTTTAGCTAAGTCTTGGTGTGTTCCCAGTAACCTTAAGGCACTGTCTCAAACTTAGGTGGATGAACATTTGTTTTTTTTCTCTGTTTATCTGAAAGTTATTTGCAGTGTCTATATCTTTAGTTCAACTTTCATTTAGTAATACAACCTTAGGCAAATCTTCCTTGGAGCTAAGTTTACCCTGCAAAATACTAATGTTGTTAGAAGGAGACAATGCCATTATTGCCCTTCAGCCAAAAACCTCCAGAAACACACCTATAGTTAAACAAATTGGGTTTAATATTCTTTGAAAAAAGGGAGATTTTTTCATCATGGGTGTACCTTTGGGAACTGCAGCACATCTCAGTTTAAGGGTGGAAGGATTTGGGTGTGGTTAGGTAATTTGGGGAGGATCCAAGGAAGTATGGGTTCACTCTGGATTGGGTACTATCAGGAAGTAGGGACAAGTCTTTGGGTATTTGTATCAGCATTCCCCAAAGGGACAGAACTAATAGGATATATGTACATATGAAAAGGAGTTTATTAAGGAGAATTGACTCACATGATCACAAGGTCAAGTCCCATGATAGGCCAACTGCAGGCTCAGGAGGTAGGAAGCCAGGAGTGGCTCAGTCCTGGTCCAAAAGCCTCAAAAGTAGGGAAGCCAACAGTGCAGGCTTCAGTTCGTAGCTGAAGGCCATCTGAGAGCCCCTGGCAAGCCACTGGTGTAAGTCCAATAGTCCAAAGACTGAAGAACCTGGAGTCTGATGTCGAAGGGCAGGAGGAACAGAAGGAAGCATCCAGCACGAGAGAAAGATGAAAGCCAGAATACTCAGCAAACCAGCTTAGTCCACCTTCTGCCTGCTTTGTTCTAGCCATGCTGGCAGCCAGTTGCATGGTGCCCACCCACAGTGAGGCACCAGACCACCAGGCACACACACTCTCCCAGACCACCAACTCAAATGTTAATCTCCTCTGGCAACACCCTCACAGACTCACTCAGGAATAATACTTTACCAGCTATCCAGGCATCCTGCAATCAAGCGGACACCTAATATTAACCATCACAGTATCTTACTATCATCTTATCCTGAAAGAGGGCCAATTAGAGCTAGGCTCAAGCTGCATCTGGGAAAGCACCTACACTCCCTCATATTACCTGGGACAGGGCGTACTTGGTATTATGTGGTTTACACGGTGATCTTGTTTCTGTGCATGGGCAAAATTACCATCTTGTTTCATCTCACTTTAGTGTACTCACACTAAAGTCTGATGTTGGTTTTTTGTAAGGCTGTTCATGGCAAAAGAACAACACCGCCCTGCAAAGAGGACCAGGCCAGCTTCTGGCACGACTGAGGCGTAGCTCTGTGTTTCAGATTAGTTCCAGGATGTCAGGCTGCTTTTCTCTTTCTGAACTGTTACTAAGTAAATGTACCCTGTATGACATTTGCCTCTTTTCCAACATGGTTTTCCTGTTGAGGCTCTGAGGCTAGTCCGAAACCTCTTTGAGTATGAGCTGAAGGCTTTTCTCAAGTGATGGTATTCTTTGGTCCGCCACTCAAAAAAATGCATCCATCTTTAGGTTGGAAAGTGGATTCAAAAGTCAACTTTTCACTGCACAGTGTACAGCAGGACCCTACATAATGTTGTTTCATTCAACGCCATTTTGACATAATGTTGTTGAGAAAAAAAGAATGGCTTCCAGGCCAGAGCCATTGTGTGTGGAGTTTGTGGGTTCTCCCTGTGGGTAGCTAGTCAGGCATGAGCAGGGCAGGAGGGGGCTCCGCTCTCCACACATACACACCAGGAGAATCGGGCAACCATCTGGTGATGGTCAAGGCTGTTATTAACTGTTTTTCTAACGTAGTAATTGGTTACAGTCAGCACCAGGGAAAGGCAGTCTCCTAATAGACAGAAAAAGCCTGAAATTGGTGATTGGCCACTTCCTGACAAGATCTCAGGAGTTGAGAGAAGTAACAGAAGACCCCAAAAGTAGGTCAATGTATAAAACCCCAAGTCAAAAGGTTAAGCTGCGCTTTTGACTCTTTAAAGTCACCCACTTGGCTCTCTTCCAAATATACTTTCCGGCCTTTCACTCCTGCTCTAAAGCTTGCCTTGGTCTCCCCTTCTGCTGTACACCCCTCACATTCTTTCTTCTGAGGTGGCAAGAATTGAGGCTGCTGCCTCATTCATACAGACACAGATACGTTCCACTGGTGAGATCCCCATGACTGTTTTCTTTGGATTTTCCAGTTTCCTCTCATGTGCCAAAGCTGTATCGGTGAGGTAAACGGGCGTGTCTAAGTGCTCCCAATCTGAGTGTGGGTTTGAGAACACACTCAGTGACAGGATGAGGTCCTTTCCAGGCATGGTACCTGCCTGGCACCCTGAGCTGCCAGGAGAGGTGAGCCCTCAGTGACTCTGAATTGGAATAAGTGGGCAAGTAACTTTCTCATTTGTTTTTATTAATCTTTCTGAAATGTATGTATAGTTTTCATTTCAGTGTTTAATACTAGAAGTGTTTTGGTCTTTATTTAGAAGTTTGGTGATGTTTTGGCTGGGCGCAATGGCTCACACCTGTAATCCCAGTATTTTGGGAGACCGAGGTGGGCGGATCACTGGAGGCCAGGAGTTTGAGACCAGCCTGGCCAGTAGAGTGAAACCCCATCTCTATTAAAATACAAAAAAACTTAGGCAGGCATGATGGCCAGACACCTGTAATCCCAGCTATTCTGGAGGCTGAGGCAGGAGAATTGTTTAAACCCAGGAGGCAGAGGTTGCAGTGAGCTGAGATCCCACCACTGCACTCCATCCTGGGCAACAGGGCAAGACTGTCTCAAAAATAATAAAGTTTGATGTTTATATGACCATAAATATGTTGTGGGGACTGAACTGTTTACATCAACTAGCTTATGTTATTGGTGTCATTATATGTCATTTTGTTTCTACCCATGGTTTCCTAAAACCTATCAATGTCAAGGACCAATAATGCTGTGACCATTTTTCTGTATGATGAAATATTTCAATAGTCGTCTCCAATGATGGGTGTTTAAGGGTACCATCCCTGGAGATGTGTCATCTTGTATATTTTTAGGTGGGTCAGGTTAACAATGGGTGTTGAAGGGCACCATCTCTGGAGATGTCTTGATCCGTAAATTTGGGTGTAAATTTAAAAAAAGATTTCCAGGTAATTTTGATGCGTACTCCTAGTTAAGAAAAAATGTATCCATATAGATGTTCAGTTTATTAAAAAAGTTTATTTAAAAATTTCCATATAGATGTTCAGTTTCTGGGCTCTATTCTGTTCCACTGGTCAATTTTTCCATCTCTGTCATTCTCACACATCTTAATTACTGAAATTTTGTAAGTCTCAATGCCTACTAAGGAAAGCTTCCCACTTTCTCAAGGAGGGTCTTCCTTATCCATGGGCCTTTGCTCTTCCATATAAATCTTATAATGAGCTTGTCAGTTTTCACATAGAAACAGTTGATGTTGATTTTTAATCTATAGATCAACTTGGGGACAAATGACAAACTTCTAGTGGTATGGAGTCTTTGGATCCATGTTCCTAATTTATTTCTCCACTTTAATGTTGTCATTGTTTTTCACTTATATTTTACAAATTCCTCCATGCAGATCTTGTGACTATTTTCTCATTGATTTTTCATGCATAAAACCGTATGCTATGTTATACATAGCATTGGGCCTGTCTCTGCACACTCTGTTCTGTTTCATTGATCTATTTGTCTTTGCCTACGGCAAAACTGCCTTTAATTTCATAGTTGTAAAGTAATTGCTCAATAGGCCTTGTTATCTTAGAGTTTCTCCCTACCCCCAACTTTTGGACTGTAAGATGCCGACCTCTGGTTTAAATGATCATAACACATATTAGAATATAGACCCAATAATGAAGCTTCTCAAGAGAGCATTACAAAGAAACTTTGTTGACCTGTAGCTGCAGAGTTTTAAATTTCATTTAGATTTGGCACAACACTTTATTCAAAAGTATTTATTTCCACAAATTTTTATCCACAGCTAAATATTACAGTGACTATTACAAGCATTTTTTTCTATAAACAAAGGTGTAGTTTACAGATTTGTTCAAAGTGGAAAAATACTTTCATCAGTAGTGTTTCTTCTATGGTGTCAGATTCACCCCTGAATATGATCTGAACTCTTTTGGAGAGGAAGTCCTTCATCTAAATGTCAGTTGGTGGCAAAATGTTATATTTAAATCTGGATTATTCTGAAACAACATCACTTTAGAAAGTAGCTTAGTTTCATTTCTGATTGATCCCCTTTGTTAGAATTAGAAACTTTTTTTTGGACAACAACCTTTTGTACCTAATGAACTTTATAATAATAAAAAACTGTCCTGTGTTTGTCATTGGCATTAACCTCTGTCTACACCCTCCAATTCTCTAATCATGGCACCAGTGGGTACAAAAAGTGAATTATGGTTATTGGGCTCATGTAGCAAATTAACTGGAGAAACTTACCACAAATATTCTCTGAAGAACTACAAGGTCTCACCCCATGTTGTCACCTTTTAGTGACCATTTAGTTATGTAGGCATTATACAAATGCCTCAATTTAGGACACCCTTGCCGTCTTAGTAGATTAAGGGTATGAAAACTTACTTTTGCAGAAGAAATTAATTCTAATTGATTAGTAATGTATGAAGGCTCTAAGTATTTGATGAATTGATGGCAGCAGCATTAATTTATTAAAAATGTTCCAAGTTCCTAGTTTTTTGCTTTTTTTTTTTTTTTAAAGTCTTAAAATTTAGTACTAGGGAAATCAAAGGAAGCAACTCCCACTGACATGCTTCATGGAAAAGGGAAAAAGTCTAGCTTTGGGTCTAATCTGCCTCCCAGGCAAGCCTACAGGTACTGGCACTCTAACTGCTGTGATGAGGATGGCACAGGGAAAACGCATGTATGGAATATGCTTGTCGGCTTCAGCAATGACTCATGTGTACCAACACATTTACTGTAAGTAAACAGATCCCTTATAATACTTAAAACACAAGTTTTTTGATCTATAAATATTTGATTCTTAATATTTAAAATGCTTCTAATGTTTTAAAAGACAAAACTCCACCATGATATCACATTGAACATTAAAATTGTTCCCAAAGCAACACTTATTTCAGAGAACAATTGACAAGTCAGTTATCTTAGTAACTGCTAAAGGCACCTGGTGAGAAAAGTGTCAACTAAATTTTAAATACTAAAAAATTAAAGAGACATCTAATGCAGATTTCAAGCCTTTATGTTGAATTGTTAAAGAGTCATTACTGATGTCATGACACTGATAAGTGTTTGCATTGAAATGACTTTTTAAAATGCAGAGAAAATGCTAACAAAAGATTATAGAGTTCCTCTAAAGATGCTTCTTCTGGCCTCCAAGTATTAAATAAGGCAGATCTAAATATTAAGTACATATAAAGTATACATTTGTTAGTCATCTATAAATTTTAAGTACAATTCCAGTGATATATACCTTTATCTTTTGGAAGAGAAGAACTAAATCTTCCATTTCTTAGGCCAAATGGGCTATTCATAAGGTCCTTCTCTCCCCATTTATTCTAATTGCCAAGGTTTTATTCAATAAGCTCTCGGCACCTAGTGATGAACCACTGACAGCAGAGAGTAGTGGTCAACAGAGACGGAGAGAATGATGGTGTAAGACAGAATATAAGAACTGTAAGCCACTGTATTTGTGGAACCACTGCATGTCAAAAGTCCTTAACATTCTAACAAGGCAATTTTGGTCTTTTAAAATTAAGGACAGTTCTTACATAAGAGACTCAGTTTCAAACTAAAGTGCATCAAAAAGCAAATTATACTTCACAAACAACTTTATAGAGGTAGCCACACACCCAGTTGTTTTAGATTGGCCTTCTAAACAAAGTCAGCATGTGGATCCATGGGTGAGTGTCATGGATGTCAGTGATTATGTAACTATAACTGCAAGAAAAAGGCACAGCTCTACAGATGCCCAAGAGAAGCTGGGATGTCTAATGTGAATGTAGAGGGGATAATGCCTATAATAACCGATTGGAACACAACTGTTAGCAGCCTTAACCCAGGCTAAGGCTGGGTTAAACCCCAGGAGATGTGGCGAATGACTGAGGAAGCTGTGCTCCAATTGCACAGTACAGAAGGTAGCCTGGAGTCTGTTGTGTTTCCAACAGCCTTTTAAGTTGGGTGATTGAGTAAAAGAGTGTGGAGGCAGGGTGTTCTACTTCCAATTCATGGATAAATATTATTTTCTCAATGTAATACAGAGTCTGTTCTTCTATGATTTGCAAACACCATTTCTTCTTATGGGAACAGCATACAGTTATCAAGAAATATGGAAAAGACAGTCAAAAAAATTTGTGGAAAGAATATGTGTTTCTAATTAAATACTTGCTTTTGAAGAGTCCAAAAACAAAGAAAAAAGAATTATAATAGCAGCAAATATCTAAGCCTGTTATATAACTGCATTACTTTTTAAAAAATCCTTATTTCAAAGGAGAGATACAATTTTTGTTTGCTAAAATTTGAAAAATGTTGAAAATAACCTGAAAAGGGAAAGTTGACCTAAGTAAGCCATTTTATTCTCTTAAGAAAAAAAAAAAAAAACCCAACTTTTATATAATAGTGATCCCTGAACTGATTATTTTTGAAGATTTTTTCAGATGATCTGATGTGCAAGATTTCATTGGTTTTACAGTAGAGGATTATGTGATGTTCTTACTGGAGGTTTAATGGCATTAAGAGCTTAAAAGCTTTCATATTGACTTGTTTGGGTTTTACATCTATAAATAAAACAAGTTATCCTTTTCTAATATTTAGCTTATAGGCATTTTTGTGAAAGTTTTGTGGGACTTGGACAGTGTATGGACTAGCATCAGAAAAAAAAACAAAAAACAAAAAAACATTTTCCATCTTCCTCAATTGGAGTTTGGGATAGCAGCATTTTAATCATCTCTTCCATTACACCAAGATGACACAAAAGCATCTGATCACACTGAGGACTGGCACTTCTAATTTTGCTTCAGAAACTGATACTTAACATGTCTGGTCTGGAGGTCAGTTACACCACTGTCTTTGTATAATCAGCCATTAAAAAATATTTTGGGGACATTTCTCAGAAGTTCATCTCTGTATTTTTATTCTTAAAACATGTCACCACAAACATAACCACACCCATGGTTTGCAAACTTCGGGAAATATCAGTATATGTCATTATCATGGTTATTAGTACCATTATTTGTTAAAAGTCCTTTGAAGGCAATTTATGTGACTTATATATATATTTAGTATTTTAATTTAGACATTCTCCAGTTATATGCAAACATCAAAACTAGGTAGCTTCATTTTATAGAATTGGCACCTTTTATATGGCTATGGGGACTGCTTGGTGTCTATAAATTGTTATGTATTATCGGACTAAAATCAAACTTAAAATTTTCCATATTTCAACTGTTTTTATTCTGAGCAGTAAGTACAAAAAATAATGACATAGTTGTGTCTAATTCTGTATAGTTCAGTGCCCTCCACAGGCTATCAATCTCTGATTTGATCTACTTTTATCAGATTTAACAGATCCTTGAATTTACTGTATATACTTCCTTCTTGCTCACATTGGGAATCAAACTAATGCTGGAAACATGCATCTTCAGACTTCATTGAGGAACTCCAGATTGAGACACGCTGGGATGTGGATTGAGTCCATGGTTAGAGAAGATGGATTAAATGGGAACAAAACAGGAAACATGTGCTTGGCATCTAACAGCAATTGCTGAGGGTCATTCCGCTCCTGTAATTGTGCCTGTGGAAAGAATAAGACCATATAAAGTTTGAGTACCCCTAAAAATAGCCAGTTTAAGTGAATTTAAGAGAGTGAGTTGGCATATATGATGGAATTATTTCTAAGACAATTAGGTAGGACTTCAGGACCAGGAGAACGTGATCTCCTTACCCTTGAGGTATTTAGTGGGGAGAGAAGCCCTGACGTAGGCTTCTTGTAGATCAGAGTAAGTACTCTCCCAATTATTTAAACATTTTTCTATATAAGGGAGAATATAAAATACGTCTCAGGGGCAAACCACATGGAGAGGCACTGTAGTGAACTGGCTAAGGGCATGGGTTTTTTCAAGATAGACAGCCTAAGCTCTAATCCTGGCACCACCTGGACAAATTCCTGAACCTTTCTGTGCCTCTGTTTCTTTACCTGTAGAATGGAATGGGAGAGGAGTACAGCACGTAAAATGGCAGAGTAGGGGTTGGTCCCTCCATTGAAGCTGCCATTGAGCTATAAACAACTATAAGCAGTGATTGTCAACTATCTCATAACTCTGGAACTCAACTGGACATTTATAACAACCAGAAGAGTGTTTGATAAAGGGAGAGGCTGCTGATGTTTGCTAAGAGAACTGTGTGTGTGACCCAGCTACTATCCCCGTTTCCTCAGCTCCCCTGAAGCTATGTGGATAGCAGTCCACATTCCTGGAATAGCTAGCTGGTGCCAGGGCAGGCAGTGGGATATTGTCCTCAAAAAATTTGGGGTTGTGCAGTTTGGTTGATCTGGTGGGTCCCAGCAGATGCCTGTCTTGGTTTAGGCATTTCTTGGGATGCAGTGGCTTCCAATACTGGCATCACTTGGAAAATTTAAAGGGGCTGCTTCCTCTCTATTTGAAGCCAGACATTTTGGGAAAAGTACAAAAACTGAAATGAAAAATTCACTAGAGGAGTTTAACAGTAGACTTGAGCAGGCAGAAGAAAAGATCAGTGAATTTGAAGATAAAGCAATTTAAATGATCCAGTCTGAGAAGAAAATAAAAATAACGAGGTAAAAATGAACAGAGCCTAACAGACCTATTGGACACCATTGAATGTACCAACATACACATTACAGAAGTACCAGAAGGAAAAGGGGAAGAAGTAGGCAACAAAATATATGCAGATACAATGCCTGAAACTTCCCAAATCTGATGAAAGACATGTATGTAATCATCCAAGAAGCTCAAAGAACCCCAAGCAGGATAAAGGCAAAGAGATTTCACAATGAGACACATTATACTAAATTGTTAAAACCCTAAGACAAAGAGAGAATCTTGAAGGCAGTGAGAAAGAAGTGACTTGTCATATACAGTTCCAGAAATCCCCATTGATACCCAAGTCCATGGATATGCAAGTACTGCAGTTGGCCCTGCAGAACCCACAGATATGAAAAATTGTCTCTCCATAGTTACAGGTCCCACATCTTGTGAATACTAAATTTTGGATCCATGGTTGGCTGAATCTGCAGATATGGAACCTGTGGATATGAAGGGCTGACTGTATAAGGTACCCTCAAATAAGATTAACAGCTGCTTTTTCATCAAAAATCATTAGGAGGCAGTGGGATGATATAGGTCAAATTGAATTTTCAGATTCAATGCAATACCTATCAACATCCCAAGGATGTTTTTTGCAGAAATCTAAAAAAAATCCTAAAATTCATATCGAACTTCAAGGGATCTTGGCTAGCCAAGGCAATCTTGAAACATAACAAAATTGGCTGGGTGCGATGGCTCATGTCTGCAATCCTAGCACTTTGGGAAGCCAAGGTGGGTGTATCACCTGAGGTCAGGAGTTCAAGACCAGCCTGGCAAACATGGTAAAACCTGTCTCTACTAAAAATGCAAAAATTAGCCAGCTGTGGTGGTGCATGCCTATAATCCCAGCTACTTGGGAGGCTGAGGCAGGAGAATCACTTGAACCTGGGAGGTGGAGTTTGCAGTGAGCCAAGATTATGCCACTGCACTCCAGCTCGGGCAATGGAGTGAGACTCTGTCTTTAAAAAAGAAAAATTGGATGCAGACTTTCCATTTGAAAACTTTTTACAAAGCTATGGGCATCAAAACAGTATGGTACTGGTATATGAACAGACATACAGACCAATAGAATATAATGGCCCAGAAAAATAAACCCTCATATTTTTGGTCAGTTGATTTTTGACAAGGGTGCCAAGTCCATTCAATGGGGGAAAGGACAGTGTCTTTGACACTGGTGCTGGGACAACTGTGTATCCACAAACAGAATAATGAAGTGGGACATTCACCTTACACCATATACAAAAATTAACTCAAAATGGATCAAAAACTTAAAGGGAGCTAAATCTGTAAAACTCGTAGAAACGTTGGGGAAAGTATTTATGGTTCTTAAAAATGACATCAAGAGCACTAGAAACAAAAATATACATAAATTTGACATCCTCAAAATTTAAAACTTCTCCATCAAAGGACACTATCAAGAAAGTGAAAAGACAACTCACAGAATGGGAGAAAATGCTTGTAAATCATATCTGATTTAATGTCCAGATTATACAAATAACTCCTACAACTCAATACCAAAAATCTGATTTAAAAATGAATTAAAGACTGGAATAGATATTTCTCCGAAGAAAATACACACATGGCCAATAGGCACATGAAAAGATGCTAATCATCAGAGAGATACAAATCCGAACCACAGTGAGATACCACTTCACATCCATCAAGATGGCTATAATTTTTAAAAGTTGGAAAATCACAAGTGTTTGTGAGGATGTCGGGAAACTAAAACTCTCATGTATTGCTGGTGGGAACGTAAAATGGTGTAGCTGCTGTGGAAAAGTTTGAGGTTCCTCAAAAAGTTAAATACAGAGTTACCATATGACACAGTAATTCTGCCTCTAAATATATGCCCCCTGTTGGAACTGAAAAGAGGATCTCAGCTACTTTTGTGCAACAATGTTCATAGCAGCATGATTCCCAATAGCCAAAAGGTGGAAACAGTGCATTTCCATCAACTGATGGATAGACAGAATGTGATAGACAAAGGGAATATTGGTCATTAAAAAAAGGAATGAAGGAATGAAGTTCTTATGCATGCTAAGTAAATAAGCCAGACCCAAAAGAATATCTCATGATTCTACTTATGTGTGGTATCTAGAATTTACATATAATTTACATATAGAAGCCTACCCAGGGTTGAAGAGAAGGGGGAATATTATTTGCCCAAATGGGTAGTGTTTCTGATGATGAAAGAATTTTGAAAATAGTGGTGATGATTACGTAATATTGTGAATATATTAATGCCACTGAATTATACACTTAAAAATAGTTAAAATGTAACACACAGACTCCAAAACAATGGGATGGGGAAGAGTACCATTCTCATAAGGTTGTGAGGATTAAAGGAGTTAACAGGTGTAAAGAATGGAGTACCAGCCGGGCACAGTGGCTCATGCCTGCAATCTTAGCACTTTGGGAGGCCTAGGCGGGTGGATCGTGAGGTCAGGAGTTTGAGACCAGCCTGGCCAAGATGGTGAAACCCCATCTCTACTAAAAATACAAAAACTAGCTGGGAGCAGTGGTGGGCACCTGTAATCCCAGCTACTTGGGAGCCTGAGGCAGGAGAACTGCTTGAACTTGGGAGGCAGAGGTTGCAGGAAGGTGGAAGTTGCAGTGAGCCAAGATCACACCATTGCATTCCAGCCTGGCAACAGAGCAAGACTCTGTCTCAAAAAACTAACAAAAACACGGTGTACCATCATTGGCACACAGTAAGTGCTATATTTGCTGTTCTCGGTTTTATAACATACTCCTTTGTTCCTCCTGCCCATGCATTAACCCTTAACCTGTAAACCATGACTTGCTGATAGGAGCTGTACTTTTACAAAAGTCAGTCGGGTTAACTGTGGGTGTACTGCCAAAAGGAAAACCAATATAACCTAATTTTGTGAAAACACCATTTATTTTTCTTAAACTTTGAAACAAGCCATGGTCAGTAAACACATAGTACCATTTGGAAAGTGCTGGGAAATAGTTTTACAGAATGAAGTCAACAGTTTGAGCATGGTATTGTCAGATGGCTCTATAGTGGCAGGGAAACCTGGAATTGCCCATGTCTTCATCCATTACCTGAATTATGAATAGAAAGCATGACTTAAATGTCTAGTACTCATGTGTTTGGCATCTTGAAAGTTGGGCCAAAATTTTAAAGTAATTTTAACCATTTGAAAAAGAGGTGTGAAATAATGGGAGAAAAGTTTAAAGAAGAGAAAGATATTTAGGGAGGAATAAGCAACAAGCCTCATTAATTCAAGATTCTTAGTGATGGCTCTGCTGTGGCCTGGCAGAATGATTCTCTGGGATTGCTGACAGCTCACACACAGCCCACTCAGGTTTGCTACATTTATTACCACGAACCAATCACAGGGTATATGGAAATGTACGTAAAACGTGAAATGGCAGGAGGCTCTGGGAAAAAAGTCATCTTTGTAGCACTTAAAGGCCCTTGAATTTCTCCGCATTAGTTAGATGTGACAGTACACTTCACTCTCTAAAGGGTTTGAAGAAATTTTAGAGAGTATAAAAATGGGAAAAGAAAGTGAAATGTTACCTATATTATCACAATTTAACAGCAAAAGGCATGTATACATTTAATCAATTAAAATTTACAAGGTGGTCATTTCACAGAAATCCTCCTGTGAATGCTTTGGTGAGTTTAACAACCTCAAATTTACATTTTTAAAGGTCAGTATAAAGCTATAAAAAAATCCATCACCCCAAGCAAGGTTTGCTTTAACAAGTAACTTGTCTTTATCACACACATGAGTTCACATGTAGGAGGGTGGGACTGACTGTTCACCATTTCTTCTGAGCATTGTATAGGTGGAAACAGAACATAAAGCTATAGCTCACACAAAAAATCTTTTGATAGAACGCGAGTTACCGAAGTTGATGACTGAGGAAGATTCAGAATGTGTGCGTATTTTCAGAGAATATTTCAGCTTAACCTCCATTACATTTTTCCTTTGTCCTTAATCCATTAAACCTGCAGTATGACTTGCCATATATTTTTTGACCTGAATTCTCATAAACAGTGGGGTTGCCAATTTATGAGCAGTTATAGTTCTCCCTCTAATATGTGTCTCAGATATTCAAAACCAAACAAGACTTTCTAAACTTGCACTTTTGTGTAAATTATCAACCCTCTATAAAAATCCATATAGCGGGTCCAGGGTCAGATATCTCAGTGGCTTCTGTCATCCACCTCTCATCATTCAGCAGCTGACTGAGAGAAGCCTAACTGGGTCCTTTCTGTCAGTGTCACCCACAACCTAGCTGTTATGTTCATGTTGGTGAGTCTCTGCCTGCCTCACTCTGTGTCCTGTGTCTTTAACAACTGGCAGTGTTTCTGTCATTGCCCTTGGGAGAACAGCCTTTAGTCTGACTAGGCACCACTTCCCAGACCTTTGGTCTCTTTTCCCTGCTTAGATGCCAGGCTAAAGTCCATTAAGGTTTTGGCCATGGCTCCTTTCAGACTCCTTTTCAGTTGTTTTCAGGGCTCTCTAAATCTCTGGATCTACATTGAAACACTATAAGGAGCTCTGAATAAAATCCCAGGAGTGTTCCAAAGGGAACAGCTTCTTGTACAAAGCTCCATGTTTCCTCACACTCCTTCAGTGTCTTTGATAAACCTCCATTTGGTTCCCTTTTCCCTGACTCTCCCTCCTCTGCTCACTTCCCCCTGCACCCTTTTTTAGTCCTTGTTTCTGAGGTCATTTAAAAGTTTGAGAAAGTGCTCTGTCTCCCGGGGTGCTCCCACAGGTAATCATGGGAGAAGTGTGCCCCGTTTTCTGAGTCACTGCGACATGACTATCATTGCAATACTGTCACAGTAAAGGTCAGGTGCTCTGCCAAAATCGCCTTAGGCTCAGCTTGAGGAAGCTCAACTTTAAGTAAAAAATTCCCAACATCTTAAGAACAGACAGATTTAAATAACTGTTTTCCCTAATACGTTTTCTTTCAAGCATTTTCCTGAAAGCAAATATCATGTCTTAGACAAAGATTTAAGAGCTCAAATTGTTTTCTTTAAATAACATTTTGTAGTTCCATTTATGGTTAGGGCTGATATTCTGCTTACATTGTTAATTCCATTTGGTGCTAATAGTTTGGTAACATGCTAGTGGTAAATTATGCTTAGACTATGTCTGTAATCTGAGAGGCAGAGATTATAAAAGTTGAGTTTTCTGTGTGTAAATACGAAGTTACTCATGGGTGATATGGTTCATGTTTACCTAAACAGAAAGCCTAGGAATATAAAGGTCTCCTAGCATATAATGTAACTAGTATTTTAGTAATAAAGAGAAGCAAGGTTGAAATCCAAATTTTCAACTTCCTTTATAGTCTTAGACTAGGACTTTATAAAATTAACATTTTAAAACTTACCTGGATCGTTCGTATAAAGGCCACTGTTACTCGTTCTTCAAATTCATTCAGGGGAGTATAAAGGTTTAAAATTTTGACAATCTGTTGGGGTAAAAACAGAATTTAGCACAGCACTAAATGAACATGAGACAACTTTTGAACTTTAAATAATATGGGAAATTGGGACGAGAGTACGATCCTCTTTAGACAAGGCCCACAACACAGATGGAGCTGGACTGATCTTCACACTTGGAGCCTGCATCCAGATAACTAGAGCCCACAGCTTTGCTAGGTGGATCTAAGCCCTCTCACTGAATTCATGTCTCGTGTAAACCCACCTGACCCTCCCCACTATGGTCACTGGTATACACAATGGGAGGCGTTTAGAATGCGGTTGCCTGGAATCCTCAGCCTCTTATCTACTAGTAATTTAAAGGTTTCTTCTGAAGAGTACTGGAGATCTTACCTTAGATGAGAAAGGTCTTGTTAACATCTAACTACCCCGTCCCCCAAAATTGTTTACAAATGAGAATTTGAACAGGAGATACTCTTTTGTCTGCCTACCAATGATTTGGTGGAAGTAGGCTGCCCAAATGCAATGCCAGCTACATTCTAGAAGCAAACTTATATAAGTGAAATGTATTTAAAAGGGAGAAAAATGTGGCTGGGTGAGGTGGCTCACATCTGTAATCCCAGCACTTTGGGAGGCCGAGGTGGGTGGATCACCTGAGGTCAGGTGTTCAAAACCAACCTAGCCAACATGGCGAAACCCCGTCTCTACTAAAAATAAAAAAAAATTAGCTGGGCATGGTGGCAGGTGCCTGTAATCCCAGCTACTTGGGAGGCTGAGGCAGGAGAATCGCTTGAATCCGGGAGGCGGAGATTGCAGTAAGCCGAGATTGTGCCATTGCACTCCAGTCCCAACAAGAACGAAACTCCGTCTCAAAAAAAAAAAAAAAGAGAAAAATGTTTGAAGACTTTCTATAAATGTGTACAAAAGGAAGCAGTTTTCTTAAGAGTTCAATATTTAATCTTTTAGTAGCTAGTGGAGGAGGTAAGGAAAAGTTAACTTTGCTATATTAAGATGTGTTTACTTTTCTGTACTGAGTTTGGATTTTGTTATTTATATTTTAGGGACTAGCAACATGTCTGCAACTGACTCATAGTTACACATTTTTTAGGGAAAAGGAAAGTAACATTTGAATGCCCCTAGGTTACTAATGACTTCGTTTAAAACAATATAAATGGAGTGTGAGTGAAAATGTGACCATATTGAAATTAGTTTTAAATAAACCGGTTTTTCTTAGAGTTGTAAAGAAAGCAAATACCTGATGCTGCCAATTTCTGAAAATTTATAAATTTCTACATAAGAAATAGTCCAGAATTCATTATATTTTAAAAAGTTTTTACCTAAGCTTAATGTTTTGTGGGTTTGCTACCTTATCTTTTTAAGTGAGTAAGAGGGATAGGGAGACTAGAAAGCAGTATGCATGGCATCTTGTTTCACAGACCAAATGGTCTTTGGTTCACCTAGGAATATCCCATCAGCTGCACTTCAAAATTGTATCATTAGGGGTACATAACGGGTGGGAGTGCGACACTAACAAATAACCACTAACAAGAACGGATTTGGAGTGGACACCAGTCTTGCTTGGAATATCATGGTTGACAGAGATGCAGAATGATTATACCTGCTGGGTGCTAAGGGAGGTACACAGGGAACAGATGCCCTCTGCATCCTCCTGCGTTTTCTTCTTTAATTGGAGGAGCTGGGCTGCTTGGATCAGAGGTTCCATGGTCTGAGCTGCTCCACTCTGGTGAAGGTTTCTTCCCCGAAGCCACTCCTCAAGCTGACTTATATTGTACCTTAGCCATAGGCAGAAAGCAAGCTGTGTTAAGCTGGTCCTCCTAATTCACCAAGAAGGGGACACCTGTTGTGTTTTACTTGTAAGCTGCAGCTAGTGTCATTATTTATCTCACATGGTTAAAAAGCATGGCAAATGCCTTGCATTCAGGAACTATTTGTTGAATAAGGAATGAATAAATGAATGAGTAGGTACATAAAATCAAGCCAAGATGAAATACCTGAAGTGTCTACATAAGGTAGTGGTGAAAAACAGGCATTAAATATACTGAATTGTAAGTATTTAAACATTCACCACCGTATTTATACTTCTGTGTGAGTCTTCATGCCTGTTAACTCATTGAGTTTTCTCTCTGACCTATCTGCTTTGTATTTAGTCTTTAACTTAGAGTATGTCAATATCTTTAAGCTTTGAACTAATTTGTTTACCAAGTCACCATCTCAGTGTTCGATGGATTTCACCAACAGATAAAAAGGTGATGGATCTGAGTCACAGACTGATGGAGACAAGGATTGCCAATTAGATTTGGATTTCATTTTTAGAGACAGCAGTCTTGTGTCCTGATTCTAGCCGGAGTCAGTGAGAGCCCACTCTATCTGTGTTGTTGGGGGGTGCTCCTCTCTTACCTGAGTTGCATGCCTGTGCTCCAAGAGCAGACATCCTTCCGTAGGAGCAGGTTGTTAAGAGTCACTGCATTGATCATGTAGAAGAGCTGTTTGAATACCTGCAGGATGATCTCAGGGTCCAAGCCCTGGTCACACATGACTGTATGAAAGGCATTCATCTGGCGGATGATAGCTTCCAGGCAGTATGAGTTATCCCCATCTGCCATGCTGGAAGAGCGTTTCCGGTAGCCGGTGGGCTTCACACCAGATAGACCCTGAATGCTCTCATTTTCCAACATGGCAGAAACTGAAAGAAAAGCACAATTAGGGAAGCTTGCATTCCCCATTAACAATGCAAAGCTCATCGGACCACTCAGATCATTTAATGCTCGGGGCTTTAGCAGTGATACCATCTAGAGGTGCGCAATGTTGACCTGCTCAGGAACTTACAACAATTGGCAAAGAATTTCTAATGTGTTGATTTCCATATGGAATAAAACAACTGTGGACAGCATTTTCACTTAAATTTATTGGCGATGAGACAAAGGTGATGGGCGTGTACCAGCTCAATCCGGTACTGCCTGTCCTAAAGTCCACAGGTCGAGAATTGAGCAACTTGGGAGTCGCCCTGACCCTGCCACTGACTATGTAAATATGAGTGTCATTGGTCTGTCATACCTACTGTGTAACTTACCTGTGCACTAGGGGCTTTATGTTCAGTATCTCTTTCAATCTTGCAACAACTCTATGAAGTACTACCCATTTTTTTTTGTTTGTTTTTTTGAGATGAAGTTTCACTCTGTTGCCCAAGCTGGAGTGCAGTGGCGCAATCTTGGCTCACTGCAACCTTTGTCTCCTGGGTTCAAGTGATTCTCCTGCCTCAGCCTCCCAGAGTAGCTGGGACTACAGGCACACGCCACCATGCCTGGCTAATTTTTATATTTTTAGTAGAGATGGGGTTTCACTATGTTGGCCAGGCTGGTCTTAAACTCCTGACCTCGTGATCCACCTGCCTTGGCCTCCCAAAGTGCTAGGATTATAGGCGTGAGCCACCACACCCGGCAGTACTACCCATTTTTACAAGGAAGTTGAGGCATAAAGACGTTAAATAACTTGCCTGAGGTCACACTGGTACGGAGTGGCAGGGCTGGATTTAAACCCAAGTCTGTCTGACTCCAGAACTGGTGCTATTAACCGTCACATTAATCTGAGTATCTCCAGCTTGATATGTCAGTTTTCCCTCTGTCTGGTGCCTTATAAAAAGATTTCCAGACAGGAAGGAGGGTTTGGAATAAACCTCATTTCAAGTAATGTATTTCTAGATTGGTCCTTCTTGCGATTCACCCATAACCTACTTGTGTTGTAAGAACCTGGAGAAAGCATGGTGAATGGGTCCAGGTACAGTTTCCTTCCCAGCCTTTGCAGAGCACAGTGAATAACGCATCTACACAACATTTTGTGAAAATACAAAAATTAGCCGGACGTGGCGGCACGTGCCTGTAGTCCTCACTACTCCGGGAGGCTGAGACAGGAGAATTGCTTGAACCTGGGAGCAGCAGAAAATGTAACTGCTCTCATTTCTCGATTCTGATTTCATGTTCAGTGCCCAAATACACTGCTTGGTTCAAAGCAAGTGTCTAATAAATACTGCTGCATCGTGCCTACTGCTGTATCCTTTTGCATGAACACACTTCTGCTTTCTTTTTTCCATGAATCAAGTTCATAATAGGTTAAGAGGGGTTTTTCACTGTATATGCATTTGTACCTTTGAGTTTATATTTATTATGTATTAAAATTAATTTGGAAAAATACAACATATTACAAAAAGAGAGAAAAAGGAGAAGTCCTCTACGCTTCTTGCCCTGTGTCAAATACCCTAGCATTGTTAATTTTATGGGATTTCACAGCTCTTTTTAAGCACGATATACACCCCTCAGTTCTGCCTTCACTGTGAAGGTTCCGTGGCTAATATATCTGGGTCCCGAAAGGCAGAGGGTGCTGACCACATCTTCCCCTCATTTCAGACCCCATGATGAGTGATGGAGCTTTCCTGCTGCCAGCTTACCTATCATCGGCTGTAACATGCCCTCCGCAATTTTAATGAGCTGCTGGTAGATCTGAATGGAAAGGTCACTCAGCACCTGACGGTATTCGGTGAGGTCAAAGTTCTTAAGACAGTGTTCATTCTGCTTTGCAGTGTTCTGAGTCATGAAGCCCTGCAGAGGGAGAGGCATGCACTACTGAGATTCTGTGGTCTGCTAGGCCCAGCACCACTTCTGGGACTCTGTTAACTTTAGTCATCTATTTGGTGGGCGGGGGGCCTACCAACGTCCTCTCTATGTAGATTATGTTTTACAAAACCCTGTCATTTCTTTGAGGCCTCACTGATGACCCTTGAATTTCAAGATAGTAGAAAAACTCAACATGAGAGAGAAGGCCTGAATCGTTCAGTCCAAATCCCCGAAGTGAAGTGATTTCCCTATGGTAGGAAAACCCAGGTTGGTACCAGGTCCAGAGAAAGGGATCCCTGCTCTCTAACTTCGTCCAGTGCTGTCCCCAATATACCCAGTCCCCCTAAAGTGTTAGATGAGATGCAGCCTCTAAAGGAGTGTGGCCATGGGCCAAATGATATGTTTGTATAGGGGAAAATTTTATACAGATTCTATCTCTGGGTATCAGAATGAACAGATGAACTAAAATGATTTCATAGCTACAGCAGTGTGTCCTCTTAGCTTTCTGTATTAATCAGATGAAATAACATGTAAGTTAAGAGAACTGCTGATATCAGAAGGACTCATGTGACCAATGTCCTTTTCAGTCGGGACAAGGGAGAAACCAAGAACAGCCAAAAAGATTAGTGCTTCCAAAAGTGTGACCATCTTCAGGAAGGCTTTTTGTCCTGTGTCAAATACAAAGCCATCTTAATAAGAACAAAACCAGGCAGAAGAGGGGATAACTGTAATCATGGAGATAGATTCATTCATTCTTCCTTTTTTTTGGACTACACGGATCTGGTTATGCTGTGGTTCAGGTCTCGCCCCAGAGAATATAAGCACCTGAAGCAACAGCCTAATGTAATGGAGTTCTAGGTCCTGCCCTAGCCTTATTTAGAATGTATATAACATTGGGTAAAGTGATGGACCTCAATGAAATAACATTACATGTAGTTCTATGCTTCAAGTAAATGCTTGGATATTATGATTTTGTAACAGAAGGCATGTGGTTTGAAATGGCCATTTCTTCAACCTTTCACCCATCCCTTTTATAATAAAAGCAGGCCATCAAATGCAGTTCTGGTTCTTAGGAGAGAGATGGAGTCAAGCGAGCCATGAAGAAGGTAAGAATGGAAGGGCACATCCTCTTATAATCCAGGGAGAAGGGTCTGTCAGAATTGGTTCTGGCACAAAAGATGGAATAAAGCTTTAAAAATGGTCACACTATTTTGGTTTACACTATGCCTTGACCTTGGGAAGGGTAGATGGTGGGTTATGTGAAAGGAAGCAGAGGAAATATCACAAAGACCTACAGGAATCTGTGAGTGAGCATGTCTGAAACGACTTGGGATTCTCACCAGAGAAACAAGAATGGAAACAAGTCACATATTACTAAGTCATTGGGCAGAGTGCAGAGCACTGGAGAAGTTCTTTCAGGGACCAAAGCTGGGAATGTGAGTTCCAGAAAAAGCTGGGCCTTACAGGTTCAGTGTGGAATGTGAAGTGATGGGGTCAGTTGGGCCTCAGGTCAAGGAATCCAATTTGGATAAAGGCATGGAGCTGGGCCTCCAGGCTAGTTTGTACATATGTAGTTCTGATTATGGGTGCCTCTTTTCTTGTGGCCATCTTTGTCTACCTTGAAATGGACAGATAATTTGGATGGCTTAGGAGACAGGTGACCCACTAGGCAACTGAGCTTCCTGCCAGTATGCATTGCAGTGGGGCTCTTCTAGAGCTGCTTAAGAAGTAGAAGGTTACAAGGTTTTCATGGAGACTCCCAGGGCCTCTATGGATGACAGGTTATGAAGACTCTACTTACATAATCCAGGAGTGCTTTCTGAGGCCCCTTGGGCTCACCAAGGCCTCCTGGAGGGAGGTCTCCTGTGGCTGGCTTTATTCCTGCTTCCTGCCACCAGGTATGATAAGGTGTGCCCATGGTCTGAGGTCCCCAAGGGTGATCCGAAGACCCCACTGACCTCTCCTGAGGGGATACAATGCACTTCTCAACTGCATTTGGATGAAGAAGGGACATTTCCTGGGTGGCCAACTCCCCACTCACCTCATCCCCGCTGTACTGCTTCAGACAGTGAAGAAGGCGGCAGGTGTTGGATAACCAGAATGATGTCATCTCAAAGTCATCATTGTGCTTCTGTGAAAAGAAAAGGACATCCCCAGCTCTAAGTGGCTCCTGTCTGGTGAGATGCTTCCTCGGTACCTCTCTCCTCACATTTCCTACTCTTATCCAGCGTTCCTGAGCAGCCCTGAGGGTGGGTAAGGCACTTGCCAGTCACGGGAATGAGACCCATTGCTGAGAGGCTGTGTGACTAATCCTCTGCCAACAAGGATGTACACGGAACCCCTGTCTTGGTCCCCTGATCAGTGGTGCACATACAGCTGCACTTCAAAATTGTATCATTGACACACAGAAAGGACAGGCCGCCTTCCATGGCTGAAGAATGAATGCAAAGCTGAGTGACAGATGAGGCTCAGCCCTGGGCTCTCGTCTAACTGCCTGGGTCAGCTGGCTCTGTTTCTAAACTGCCGGTTACCCGATACAAAGGATTCTAAAAGAGCATGACAGCAAAATATTTTGGTGTACCATTTATCCAGAGGACAGATGTGTCATGCCTTTAACTCTCTAGAAAATGGCTACAAACACTAACTAGGTGAAAAAGCCTGCTCAGCAACCCAGACAGCTATGAGACAGCTGCTGCATTAAAACTGATGGCCTCATGCAGCTCATTCTGTCAAGTAAGTGTTATTATTTAAATGTCACAATGGTATGAGGTACGACAAAAAAAAAATAACAATGAGGTTGAATAGAGAGTGACTGGTGGGGCTGGGACATGCTCTTTTAGCTTGGAATTAGGGAAGGCTTTCCTAAGGAAGTGACATTTGCGTCAGCCTTAAACTGGCCTAGACTGGCCCAAGATTCCAGCCGGATGGTGCTCATGAAAGAGGGTCAAGGCTAGAGACACAAATCTGAGAGCCACTAGCATGGAGATGTATGCTTTAGAGCCGTGAGTGGATAAGATCGCCTGCGGACAATGCAGCTACTGAGGGCAGGAAACCAGACTTAAAGGCTGGCTCTGAAATTCTTAGAGTAGCAACCAGCAGCTCAGTGGACCCCAGAATTGGTCTGGACTCAGAGCGTTTGAGAATGGCTTGTATCCTGGAAGCAGTAGTGTGTGAGAACTAAGACAGCCTCTAAGAGCAGTAACACTCGGGGCACAGGCCTGCTAGAAGGTAGAAACCCCTCTTACTGAGGGCTCATCTCCCTCAAAAATCTCACCTCCCACTGCCTGGCCCACACCCTGGGTGGAAAGGCCTCACCTCCCTGCAGGCCTGTTTCTCAGTGGCAGCACTGCATTCACCAAGAGCCTTTTGCCTTCAGGTGGCATCCCTGAGCAACTTTAACAGCCTGAGGACAGCCCTGTCCCATGGGCTGCCTTACCTTGGAAGGTGATGAATGTCACAGACCTCCCTGTGTTATCCCCCAGGGAAGCAAGCATTCAAGAAAGGTGGAGAGGGCCCATGTTCCAGGGGTGTCCCCAAACTTGGTCCAGGGCGAGGCCCACACACCCATGGCAGCAGCAGGATGTCTCCCTAACATTTCTGGCAGTGGGCAGGCCAAGGCTTCTGTAGGCACTGGGCATGTCTGGAGGCTCAGCAGGGAGGGGCTGGAGGGCTCCCTGCACCAGAGTCCTGGGCTTCCTGCCATTGCTGGGCTTAAGCATCCTTCTCTGGGGACTGCCAGGTATCGGGTTACATGGATGCTTCTGTGCCTCATTTACCTTCAAAGTTGGAGCCTCGGGAGAATTCACTACAGCCAAACCCAGACACAGAGAAGCAATGGTAAGTGGCTGGCTTTGCCCACCTATCACAAACCATGATCTTCTGCAGAGGCCGCTTACCTTCAGGACTTTTTTAATGCCGTTGATGGTGGAGGTCAGCAGGGCGTGCACCTTGAGATCGTCGTTGGTGTAGTCTGCGTGCCGGATGCACATGTAGAGGATGTAGGCGGGGAGACAGGGCACGGCACCCGACAGCATCTGGGGCTTCAAGTCTAAGCGCAACGGCAGCAGCAAACGGGGAGGCGGTCAGAATCCTCATCTGAATAGAGCCGTGTTCAGTATCTCCCCATAGCTCATCTAGTAATAGAGGTCTCAAAGAGGATTGGGAGAGAAGCCACCCAGGGTAAACAAGCTGCTGAGCCTGCCTAGCAGTAGTTTCAGACACCGTGGTTAAAAACCCAAACAAACAAAACCACACTCCTAATTGTCTGCACTACAACACTCAAACAGGATTCTAACACCTCAGGCTTATAACACGGAGGAAAAGTGCCTGCAAGTTACACGATGCGTTGGTCCGCTGCCAACAGGGGCCCATGGCAAAAGGAAGGCTGAGGACAGGATGTAGCTCCCACACCGGGCAGGAACGCCTGATTCTTGGTCATCACCACGTCCAGAAGGCGAGGGCTAGCTCCAGAATTAGACAAATTGTATGTTCCCAAAGACAGGGCCAACATCCTGAGGACTGGGGAGGCTGCAACAACCTCCGGCCCATCAGTTAGGAACAAATTACCCAGCAGTGCTTGCCCAACCTCACAGCCGAATAGACGAGGCAGGCCCCGACCCGTCCCCAGTGCCGCTGCTCGGCATGCATCTCTCCGGCCACTTTTGTACTTCCCCCAACTGCTCTCCTCTGTATCCCACACTCCTGCCCCTGCCTGGGCAAGGGCTGCTCTGGCTGGACTGGAAGGGCCTTGTGAGTCTCCCCATTAACTGCAGACTCAGCTTTTGGTCCTTTTTGCAAAAGGCCCTAGAGGACAGGAAGCAGCTGTCAGACTGTTTTCTATTCCAGACCACACAAGGAGAGCCAGGCTTAAGGTGGTAGGAGCCAGGTGGTGGTAGGAGCCCAGAGAACTGGGGGGAAGGCCAAAGGCAAGATGACAGGTGAGAATGGGGCGTGAGCACAAGGCCCCAGGGGTCTCACCATAGCCCTGCTGTGTCTGCAGCCCTTGTTCTTTACACTCATACCCTCCCAAATGAGGCCTCATGAGCCACCTCTAGGCTCAGAATGGCGATGAAGGGAGGCCACCTCCCTCCCACCTGCAGGTGGCAGAATCCCTGCAAACCTTCTACCAGGCCCGTCCTGAGCTGGGCTCTGTTGCCAGCAGCTCCAGTTGGTATTTGGTTTATACCATCCCTGCTCCAACACATTCTTCTTGTTAAATGCTAACTGTATGCCGTAATACTCTTGAGTACACGGTAGACATTTGGGCATTTTATAGGTCCAATAGATGGCTGTGGATCAGCCATTGGCTCTAACTAGAGTGCTAGTCACATTTAGCCAGGAAAGTATATTTTGTAGGCCCAGACTTCCAATCCATAAATTGGTACTTCAGGCTTGTCCTATGTGCAGATTACAAACAACCTGTCCTGCCTTGGTATGTTCTACTGTGACTGAATAAAGCTTGTTTGGGCTCCCCAGCTAAATGTTAGCATCTTGGAGAACAGGGACCATAACACTAGTTTTATTTCTCCTCCACAGCAACTGGTCAGTACCAGGTACCTAAGAGGTAGGTGGTCTGCGGTCAAGTTTTGGCATTTGTTTGGAAGGGGTCTTTTGGAGTGAAGATGACTACAGGGTTTTCCCAGGCAGCTCAGCAGGAGATGACCTTGCCTGGGGCCACCTGAGCAAGGGTCATCTCCTGCTGATGGCAGGGTTTTCTCCATGAAAACCCTGGCGAACGGCAGGAGCGAGCCACCTGTCTGACACAAGCAGCCTTATTTATTGAACATTTCATTCATCAGAGATGAAAGGTTTGTTCCTAATTGCGCTTGAACAAGATGCAGTCTGTTTAAGGAAGTTTAAGATAAACTTAAGTCACATTTAATTGCTGGACAACTGAAGAGGAAATTAAGTTTTATAAAAGAGAAAAATACATCTAAGAAGCAGGCTACTAAAAACACACAAACCAAACAGCTGGTGTGAATCTGTTTAAGGCAGATGTCACAGTCTGTTCTTCCTGGGTCCCTCGGCCCTAGGCACAGTGATCAGCAGAGCTGGACTTCAGTCTAACATAAGTTTCTCCAAAATAATGCTCACCTCTTATCTGAACTTCAGATGATCCTGCAAAAGCTACCACTCCTTTGAACTCCTCACATTTGAGAAGCATTTTGCAGTTTTAACTCAGCACTTTTGTCTTTGTCACACTTCACATCATGGGGCAGGCAGGTCAGTGTCATCATCCCCATTTCACTAAGGTGCCAGGGAGAAGGGAGCTGCTGGCTCAGGGTCCAGAGGATCAGACCACTAAAGGCTGCACTTTTTTCACACAGGACTCTCTCCTCTAAGGCTCTTCCTGGCTCTGCAGGGGGCTGCTGGACTGCGTTGGCACAGAACAGGGAGGTGGCCTGTTGCAGCCAGATGGGAAATGAGACTGGAGGGGAGGGAGCTGGTACGACTTGCAAAGTAGCAATGGGCACAAGGCTGAGTAAGTTACACAGGTGATGCAGACTCCCTCCAGCCCCTTGCTGAGCAGCCAGGAGGGACCCAGAGGGTGGCGGGGTAGGGGCAGGGGGGCTCCTCTTTTCACAGAGAAAACCCTGCCCTCTTGGCAGCTAGCATGGAAGGTTTTTCAGTTCTAAGAGTCCAGCTGGGGGAGGGATTCTGAGCAGTGGCTCTCACAGCTGCCTGGTAGCCCTGGGGAGCTCGTGAGGGTGGAAGGCAAGTAGGTCAGCCCTGATTCAGCCATATGCCTGGATGAGAAACTGCAGATGATAACAAGGACAGTAAAAGCCAACCCTGATGAACTTTCACAAATGCGACCAGGGTGATTCCGGACAGACTGCATGAACTCAGCGTTCCTCAGACTTTAATGAGCCTGTGAATGTCCCTTGGCATCTTGTTACATGCATTGCGATCCAGGAGGCCCGGCGTGGAGCCCGAGATTCTGCATCTCTCACCCCTTCCCAGGTGATGCTGATGCTGCTGGTCCAGGGACCATGTGTGTGCAACGAAATACGAACTTTCATTCTCACAACTCCATGCCAGTGGCACAATCCCCTTTCCTGGGCTCTACACAGGAACATTGGTGAGTAGCACAACCACGGCCACATGTGTCTAGTTAGGAAAGAACCCAGGTCTGAACACAGCCCACATGATTCCAGAGACCAGGCCCACATGTGCTGTACCACACAGCACTTATAAACTGTGAAGTCCTAACCAAACAGAAGGAATCTGAATCCCTGATCTGCTGCTTCCCAGCTGTGTGACCTAGGCAAGTTACTAGAGCAAGTCTGTTTCCTTCAGTGTAAAATGAGAAGGCAGCAGTTCTGACTTAAAGGGAGGTTGCGAGGATTCAATGAGGGATGAGGGTGATGTGCCCGGCAGAGGACCTGGCAGCAGCATGTGCTCCAGAAGCATGAGGTGCCATCGTTGCAAAAGCGCCGTGGCCCATACAGAGCTGCACCAAGGAAAGGGGGCCGTGGCTGCTGCTGGGGAAAGCATGTGGGTGGCCCCCCTCCCACTTGTTTCACAGGCAGAACAAAGAAGCAGTGGGTCTCCATCAAGAACAGCAGCTGGAGACAGCAGGAGTTGGGGGTGGATGAAAGTAAGTGGGGGCAGTGGAAGATGGGGATGGGTGCAAGGGTAAGCAGGAGACAGAGGGTGCGGGCTGTGCGGGAGGTGGAGGAAGGGGTACAGGGGTTGTGCTGGGGATGGAGACGGGAGTGGGGGCCGAATGAGGGGCAGGCGGTATGGGGTAGCACAGGGGGTCCTGACCTGTCACCAGGTTTCGGATGAGGAGGGCCTCGTCCTCTTTGTGGTACTCCAGCATGCCCTGGAAATCCTTCTCTTTCCGCTGGACTGTGACTTGCCTGTTGAGCTCATGGCGCTTCCTCTCACTCTGGGCCAATGCCTGGGCAGCTGAGCAGGAAAGAGAACAGGAAGCATGGATGAGGCTTCCAGCTGCAGGCCTGAAGGTAGCAGGCATCTCTGGTGGGTGGAAGATGGGACCTGGGGCAGGGGAGCGGGCATCTCTGGTGGGTGGAGGATGGGACCTGGGGCAGGGGAGCGGGCATCTCTGGTGGATGGAGGATGGGACCTGGTGGGGGGGAATGGGCATCTCTGGTGGGTGGAAGATGGGACCTGGGGCTGAGGAGTGGGCATCTCTGGTGGGTGGAAGATGGGGCCTGGAGGGGGGAGTGGGCATCTCTGGTGGGTGGAAGATGGGACCTGGGGCGGGGAAGTGGGCAACTCTGGTGGGTAGAGGATGGGACCTGGGGCAGGGTGCATTCTGGGTTCTCTGAACTCCCACTCTCTTTGCAGGGTCTGTTCCTGCAGCCAGAGCCACACCCCAAGTGTGAGCAAGGAGCTCAGCATCCAGCACTGGGGTCCATACTCTGGACAGGGGAGAGGAAACATCCGAAAAGGCAGGAGGCAGGTTTCAGACCAGAGAAAACTTGTGAAGGATGTGAGCCAGCATGGTCTCTCGCCACTCCTGCACAGCTGTTTCTCTTTCCCTACTGGCTTGTAAGGAAAGGAGTTAGGTTTTTCTGGGAAGAGCTTGGCCTCAGCCTAGTGCACTACACTCAGTTCCCTGTGTGTGTGGCCACAGAGCGGCCATTGTGACGCAGCTGCAGGGCAAACCCAGGTGTTCAGGGCAAGGCCTGAGCACTGCTTGCAGCCTGTAGGCGTTGGAGCAGGGTGGTGTTGGTGATAGCAAGGACACGTCCTGGCTCCCAAATGCAGGTTTAGGTTTAGGAAGCTGCCAAGTGCAGTCTTTGCAACTACATAAGATGATTATTTGGCAAAAGTTTCAGTGGCAGGGCTGAGGATATAAAGGCCTGATCAACCCTCACTCAGGCCTCTCAGCCTCACGCCATGGTGGAGGGGCAGTGGACAACCACAGCGTTATCCCCAAATGCATCTTGGTGCTGACTGCACATAGGGCACTGTCCTAAGCATGAGAACAGATACAATGACATGGCCGATTTGTCCCTGGTCAGTCGAGCTAAGGAGACACATCTGTACATTCACATGGAAATACTACAACACTGCTCAGGCACCAAGTCAGGAGTGTGTGATATGGGTGCTGAAGGTGGCGGGGCTGGAAGGGCCCCACAGAGGAGGTGGGATGAAGGGTGGGTGGGACTCTCACATCCAGGTTCAAAGGGGCTGATCCGTCGGAAGAGGACTAGGGCGAGTGACCCCCGGCGGGAAGGCTGCTCCACGCACTCCAAGTGGCTGAAGGGAGGCTCTGAGTGGAGGTGGGGATGAGTGTGAGAGGATGAAGGCTGGTGGACAAAGGCTGGGATTTCATTCTGCAGGCAATGAGGCGACAGCAAAGGCCAGACAGTGCTGTGAACAGAGACAGGACTGGGAAACTACTAAGGAAACTGGGAACAGGGGACAAGAACTGGACACAGGGGTAGGGGCAGACACAGAGAAACACTGGAAGATAGGGAGTGACAGGTGTTCAGGAGTAAGCAAAGCTTGAAGCCAAGAGACCAAGAGAATGAGAACTGGAGGAACAGCAAATGAGAAATCCAAAGTTGGCGGGCACATGGACAAGTTTGGAGAGAGGTGTCCCTCGGGACAGAGATCATAGACATCCCTGCCCTCTAAGAGCTTTCAGTCTAGAGAAGCAGGAGATTAAACAAGTAAAACGACACCTGTGATCAGAGCTGTACCCAACATGCTCATGGGGTCAGGACTGTGTAAGACAAGATTCAAGCCCTGGGCATGTGGCTCCTGAGCTGAGGGTGGAAGGAGGCAGACGGGGATCCAGGCAGTGAGGGCTGAAAAAGGGTTCCAAGCAAGGTGACACATGCAAAGAGTGACACGGAGATCTGCAGCAGGGAGTCAGAGGGAGAGAACATTCTGGGTCTTTCTGGAAGAGTGATTTAAATCTCTACCTGAAGATTCCAGATGGGAAGTTTAATCCTGACACCCCACAGCATGGAGTGAGGCCCTTGGGGGTTACGTCCTTTTGATACACAACATTCTTTCACATCAGTCTTGCCTCCCCACTTCAAGCCCTTTGAGGGCAGGGACCACCAGGTCACCTCTGGGTTCCGCATTCATCTAGCCCTGCGGAGCCTTGCTCAGAGTAAGCACCCAAACTGGCTGAATTCAAGTGTCTTCTGTCCATATTCTGGATGTGTCAGCTCATGGGATCTGACTACTATCGCATGGCTGGACTGGGCAGAGTCCAGTGATAGAGGAATTCTCCCAGTGAAGTAGGAAGAATGTGGAGAGGGCAGGCAGGCAGCTCACACGCACAGGCGTGGCCAAGTGTACCCCTGCTTCACAAAACACACTCACTCACACCCCTGTACCTTCTAGGTCCTGGACTTTCTTCATGTAAATCTTCAGTTGTTTTTTGAGCTTCCTCTCATTCTTTTCCAGCTTTTCTACCAGTTCTTTAAGGTCCTGGAAGCAGAGGGAGCAGTGTGAGAACAGATATCAGCCCTGCCTAGGATGGTGGAGGTAAAATCCTGCTTCGAGTGGGAGGTGGCCCATGGGCAGCCGTCGGAAAAGTGCCAGTCAGGGACGCTGCCAGGAGAGCTACTCCACGCAGGCTGCTGCCACCTGCTCTGGAACTCAGGAAGTAGGAGATGATGAGTCAGAATACATTCTCTCAGTAACAACAGGGCAAGACTCCTCCCAGGTCAGGCTCTCTGGCGCCTTGCTGAATCCCAAGCCTCCCCAAGCCAAGCCTTCACCAGTTGCCATGCCAACCCCCAGGAGACACACTCAGCCTGGGAGTCCCAGGTGGGGCGGGCAGCGCCTTGGGAAGGAATGGACAGGTGGAGGTGTGAGAATGCAGGGGGCAAGGGTGCTTGGAAGAGCCAGTGGGCAAGTGAGATTACCCAGGGCCCCGAGGCAAAACAGGACACTGGTGTGGCCCCAGTCCCTAGCAGCTGTTGCTACTGGAAGCACATCAGCCCACTGGGACCTAGAATAGCAAGGTGCTGGGGGAGGAGTTTGCTGCCATTAATGGCAGCCCCATCCCAGCTGAGCAGTGGTCCTCTGTGGCCAGGTACGCAAGAAGGAGAGAAGGATCCCTGCTCCATCACCACTGGAGCTGGCCTCGGCTATTAGACACTGACGGGAAGACAGAAGTGAGTATTCCATAGTGGAGCCTCTACAGACACGCTGGGTGGCAACTTTTGAAGATTGGCCTATTGACAGGAGTCGGCCCAGTCCTAGTGCTGTGGCCATCCCAAACTACTCACCTAGTTATAGATGTTGTTAGGGACTTATCTATTCATCATGCTAAAAAAGCAAATCTTTAAAAATACTTCTTAAATTGAGAGGTATCTAAAAACCCAGCTCAAGTGACAGGCGAGGCGGCAGAGAGTAAAACCTCAATCAGTGACCTAAGAGCGGCCTCTGTGTGAGAGGCCAGTTGGTAGAAAGGACCCAGATGTCTAAAGAAACTTGAGCCAGGGTTCTCTGTGGCTACTGACAGTCTCCTGTGAACCCTGAATTCTACTCAGATTCTGTCTCCCTGTTAGGTGCCTTCCCAAGCAGCTCCAAAGCATGTGACGTCCCTGGCTCTGCTGCACTGCCATCCCCGCCTTGTGCTCATATAACCGTGTCCAGATCCAACCCCACTGAATCCTCAGCTACAGCTCTGACTCTTGCACAGAATTAACCAATGCCTGGGGCCATGTGACTTAACCAACCCAGTGAATGAGGAGCCCAGGGCTGGCCCAGACCGGGCCAGGACCAGCATGCTGGTACTATGACCATCATCAGTCCCAAGCTCCTCTGTGCGACATTACCAAATCCACAAGAGAAAGTTATCTCTTGTGTCTTTTTGAAAACCTTCACTATACCCTGGGAGGACAGACAATAAATGCTCCAATGCCTATTTGCAACATCTTAAAGACCGGATGCTTCAAGAAGGAAAGATTAATCCAGGCTTTGACTCCTGTATCAAGAGCTGTGACATCTCAGCTAGCTTCTCGTGAAAGCCCAGCAAACCCAATACTCCACCCGAAAGGCTCAGGCAGAGGGGAACATAAGGATCCATGTCACTAACGGTGGCTTTGTGCAAAGACATTCCTGAGTGTCCAACCCCCAACCCCCTACAAATCCCAGAAGGTTGAATTCCTTAATGTGCTAAGGGGAATTACATAAAGCTGTGCTTCCCAAACTTTGTAAGGGTGTTAGAACCACCTGGGAATCTTTAAAGCTTGAAATCAACAAATTTAGAACAAATAAAGGGAACACAGTGCTGGCCACAATGGCTGTAAACTTGTGCAGATACTAAAGCCCAAAGTCCTAAAGGCCAAAACTACAAAAGCTTACAGAAGAATGAGTTCAATTCATAAGGAATCTTGGAAATGAAAAATGAGCACATCTGAAGATGGCTCTAAACTTTTCAAGTTGCTACTAGGAAGGACAATCACATCCTACCCTCTACACAGACATCTTCTGGACTATTCCAGCCTCAAGCTGTTTCCCCTGACTTCCCTTACACTCCGCCCAAGGCTGCCTAGTGCCCTGTGCTGTGGTCACCTGTGTATATACGGTCTCCTCTCTGCCAGAGGTCAGTGCTTTACCAGCTGGCACATGGCAGGCAAATGTATATCATCCACAGCCCCTGGAAACTGCTGTGGCTGGCTCTCCTTAGGGGTCCCAGTCTCCATCTTGGCAAACAAAGAGGATCACGTTCTGGAAGGAGTCTCTCAGCAGGCTGCAAGCCGGAGCCTTCCTCCTCATCCTTGCCTGCCCAGCAGCACAGGCCCCTACTCATGCCCCAGGGTCACCACTCCAGCAGAGGGGCCCACTGCACTGCCTTCTTTCACTCTCGTGGCCTCTTTTTTTTTTTTTTTTGGGACGGAGTTTCGCTTTTGTTACCCAGGCTGTAGTGCAATGGCGTGATCTCGGCTCACTGCAACCTCCGCCTCCTGGGTTCAGGCAATTCTCCTGCCTCAGCCTCCTGAGTAGCTGGGATTATAGGCAAGCGCCACCATGCCCAGCTAATTTTTTTTTGTAGTTTTAGTAGAGATGGGGTTTCACCATGTTGACCAGGATGGTCTTGATCTCTTGACCTTGTAATCCACCCGCCTCAGCCTCCCAAAGTGCTGGGATTACAGGCTTGAGCCACCGCGCCTCTTAAGGTGGGACTACCCACCTCTTTCCATTCACTGACTCTCCTAAGTATGGCCTTGATGACCCTGTGCTGGTGTGCCGTGAGCTAACACAGTGCCTACACGGTGCACAGCCCTCTTTATAAGGTGGCTGTCCACTGTGCTGCTTGGTCATTGGCCCTCCAGGGAACATGGGCCACCAAATACATTTCCTAGGCTGCCTTCTCTAACTGGCAGAAGCTGGCCAGGTATGTTTCTTTAATACGGTGCATTTATTTCCATAAAGCCACCAGGTAACACATGTATATGCAACAGAGGGTGATTTGGAGACAGAAAGAGGGAAAGGGAGGGAGGGAAGATCATGTGTACGTGCTATTCAGCTGTGGGTCTGGGCCCCACTTTTCCTCTTGGGATCAAGTGAACTAGCCACCCAATTATAGGTCATCTGGTTATAAAGAGAAATGACAGCCATGGCTAGGCTCCTGGACTGGATACACTGTGGGCACACAAATGTGCTGCCCTCCGTGGGCACACGCAACTCCAGAAGATAATTGGCACTGCTGAGCCCTGCCCTCAGGTGTCCTTCACTTGTGTCCGGTGTCATGGTCCATGCTTTTCTTCCCCCTCCCCCTCTGCCTGTCTCCATGGTTTACATCCCCTTCATGCCTCCTGTCTCAGCTCAAGCCTAACGTACCCCCAAAAGCTTGCCCTACCGTTTCTCTTCCTGTAATACTAGTTAGCTCCATTCTGTTTTTAAAAGCAGAATCATGCTTTTAAAAACACTATCTAGTTTCTCTTCTTTATTACATGCCTTCCTTCCCCTACTGACCAATCTGCAAGCTCTCATAGGACAGGGACCCTCTTCCATTTCTCTGGCATCTGCTGGGCCTCCTTTGGTGGCTGTCTGCAAAAAGGCCCCCAACAATTTCTCCCACTACTCCTCCCTTCAAGAGGTAGAATCTCTCCCCACCATATCTGGCCTAGCCATGAGACTGGTTTTGATCAATGGGCAGGAGCAACACTGTTAGTTCTGGGGCTGAGCCTCAAGGGGTCTCGCTGTTCCTGCTTTCATCCTCCTGGAAGTCAGCCGCCAGGTAAAGCAGCTCAGCTAGACCAGTGAAATGCGGCGAGAAGGCAGGTGAGGCCTCCAGCCGACAGCCAACACCAAGGCCCTAGAAGCAGAAGTGAGGCTGTCTGAGATCTTTCAGCTCCAGTAAACAGGTCTTGAGTGGGGAATTCTAGAATCTCTGTTTCTACTATAGGGACAAGGGTCATGAACCTTGTCCGTTTTGCCAAAGACCACCCCATCCCATTTTCTTCCAGAACATGACCTCCCAGAGCTAGGGTCCACTAAGCATGGCTACTCACCAGATTCTCATTGGTCAGCCGGGATATCTCCTGCTGGACGCCAAATTCTACCTGGGCCTCTGGGGAGAGCAGTAGCGTTTGGCAGAAGGTCTGCTGCTGTTTTTCCATCTCCTCCTTCAGGGCCTCCAGCTGGTCCTTGAGACGTTCCACCTCCTCCTCATGCTCCAGGCTCTGGGCCTGCAGCTGAGCCTCCAGTAGCCTGCGCCAGGGAGAAGACAGGTGAGCACACGGCCCAGGCCAGGGCCTCCATGTAAGGGGCCACAGGCAGAAGCACGACAGGGGAACGGCCAAGCACACAGCAGCGGCGGTCACACATCCCCCCGAGGGATGAACGCAGCAGGAGACAGACGCCGTGGGGAACGCGAGGCAAGCGGGCCAACTGTCCTCCTCTCAGGTGACAGGAAACCAAGGCCAAAGCACTCCTGGTCCTACGGCTTTTTCTCAACTCTTGTGCCTCATTCTCTGAGCATAGTTTAACCATTTGGGATTGAGATTGTCTCCCTGTCAAAGCGTCTATCAACAGAAATACATTTCTTAAAGCATCTTTTAAATAAAAATAGCTATGCCTGCCCCCAAAGTTCACAAGAACCTCCTTCTTAAAACAAAACTCTGGCAAAACTGAGCTAATTATATTATTAGGATATTTTCCCTATGGCAAATTCTCCACAAGTTTTAGAAAGGCAAAATGTTAGCCCCTTTCCTTTTTATCTGTACCATTATTACTAGCCCCAATTTATACATACAATTATTAAATATATAACTTCTATATACAAGTTTCCTCCAGCCAAAAATGAAAACTAAGACTATTTGCAAATGATCTAGGGGAAGGTGTAAGATCAGTTAGTGTTATGACGGGAAGCAGGGAGACCTAGAGATCTTGCAAACATTGAAGAGAAGTCTCATAAGACTCTGAGTCAAAAGGCCCAAGACCAGGGGTCCCAGTTACCTGGGCAATGCTTCCATCATAATAGAAGGCAAGAGATTAATGAAGGCTTACAGGCAGCCTCACCTTCAGGAAGTTAAATGCTAATAAGACCATGATGCTGTCCTTCTTGGACTTACTTGCTTAAACCAGCTTTCTGATTCAGTGCAGCAGGCTTCATACGGAAGAATGCTAGGGTGCTGGGGGAGAGGTCCCGTAAACAGCTTCCAGACATGGTTACATGGAAAAAATTCACCCCAGGGTCTTCTGGGGATGCAAATAACGATCATGACCGAGCTAGGCACAGAGGTAGGAACTGAGGCATGCCCAGGGGACAGCCGTTAGAGGCTGTGGCTGCCCTGGAGGAAGGCACCATGTTTTTTACAGTTCTGATGGTTTGGGAGGTCACAATTGCCATAAGAGAGGTGGAGCCATGTCTGCAAGGGAGCAAAAGAGAGGGGAAGTCTACACTGCTGATAGAAGCGACCATTTTATGTGGCTGAGTTGGCTCCACAGCAGCCCTGGGTGCAACATCTGACTCCCAGTGGCTTCTCAATGAAGTCCCATAAATGAATGAAGAAGTGATTGAGAAAATCACTCATTCACCACAGGCAATATTACCAAAGAAAAATAACATGAGATTTGTGGAGGATAATTGGGTAATTAAGTCAGGATTTAAAATGAGATACAGTATTTAGATAATATCCAATATTGGCTACAGTACATTACAAGTAGTCACCAATAAGTTAGAAGTTTAACGAGAGAGCATAAACACTCTTGGGTCCTAGGCAAGCTGCCCTGAGGATTCATCTCCTGCCTTCTGCGGCATGTTCACTGTTCATGTCTTATTCTCCAGGTGGACTGTAGCTGAGTGATCAGCCAGGGTTCTGTTCCTACTTAAGCATTAGGCTAGCCACCTTATGGTGCAGGTAAGAAAACTAAGGCCAAAAGAGCTTTGAGGTCACAACAGTGGCAGGGCTGATTCGAGAAACCAGGACTCTCGATTCATAGGTCTGTACTTTATTAATGCATTCAGTTGCTGATTCATGAAACCACATCTGATCTGCTGTTGGAGAGGCACGAGCAATCACCTGGCTTCATACGTGGGTCCTTCCTCCAATAAAAGAAACTTCCGGGTGGGACAGAAATCTGATCTTATTGAATAATAACAATTATAGTAATAGAAGTAGCAGCTAACATTTATTATTCCGTGATTACGTGATTGCACATGCCAGGCATGTGCAAAGTACTTCACCCGTATAAACCTTATTCCTTATAATGCCCCATGAGGAAGGTCCTATTTCATTCACAAGGTAACAGACCCAGCATGTCACCTTGCTCACAGGTTGTGGGGCCAGAGACACTACTTTGTGAATTGGTTGACTAAACTTTCTTTTTCCAAGAAGAGATGCTCTTGGTGCAATGGTACTCTCCACTACATCCTCAGCAGGCAGCAAGGGGAAGCAGCATGAGGGCTCCCAGCTCCTGCTCCGCTACCACCCGGCTGAGGGAGCTGGACCCAGCACTCATGCCACCTCGCCGAGTCCCAGTTTCTTCTCTGGAAAGCAAGCTTGATGACTACCAGTCCATCTCTTATTGAGAGGCTCCAATGGGCAAAGCTATGCCACAGCTCTTAAAAGCCACCTGCAGTCAACAGGCCTATGGTGTGATCCTCATAGGGTTTCCTTGTGGTGCATGCCTACCCTATCTGGGTAAACTGCTCACCCACTGCTGAGGGCCAGTGCGTTTCAGGCTCAGACTCTGGTATCAAATGGAACCAGGTTCAAATTCTGGATCTTCTGCTTTACTGACAAGTTCCTTAAACCCTCCGGGCTTCAGTGTCTCTACCCCACAAGGGTGCTGTGAGGCTAGACGTCAAGGCGCATGCACTGCACTTGGCTGCCATCAGCTTCAGGGAGACCTGGAGATCAGGACCAGCACATGTGCTGACGGCAGGCTCTGGAGGGCACAGGCTGCATTTGGAGCACAGCCAGCAGCACAGATCAGTCAGATGCTTTTGGCTGATCCTGCAGTTAGGAGGGCCGGTATGTAGTGTGGAAGCAGCACAGGCCCAGGGTTCCCCAGGGTGTTTCCTTCTCAGCCTTGTTCTAAAGAGCTGCGTGCCTGCCACCATGCAAGCTCCCACATTTTCTCTTTCTTCACCTATAGGACAAGTGGCAGGACCATATGGTTCCTGAGGTTCACCAAGCGCTGTCACCTTGACCCAAACAAGCAGCTGCCCTCAAGCACATCTGCACAGCCTGGGCACAGTGACAGATGGTCAACCACAGGGGCTACCAGCCAGACTGCACGCAAACTGTTCCCCATGCCCTCACCCCCACTCTAGCTGAAAAACGTTCCCCATGCCCTCACCCCAACTCTAGCTGAAAAACGTTCCCCATGCCCTCACCCCCACTCTAGCTGAAAAACGTTCCCCATGCCCTCACCCCCACTCTAGCTGAAAAACGATTAAGCGTAGACACGAGCAGGCACAACGGACAAAGCAGACACAGGAAGAAAGGTTTATGCTCCACCTGGCAACTTGCTTTAGGCCTTGGTAGGCCAAGCCGAGTTCTCCATCTTCATTTAAATATCCCCAATCCTCAGTCTTGCTAGAAACAAAGGACAGAAAAACAGGGTGTCCAGTGTCGAGGGAAGAGTCAGGCAGGCAGGGAGCCCTGGAAACGGAGGTGATTCTAGCCAAGGCTTGGAAATGAAAAAAAGGCAAGGCTCAAGAACCCCCATTTTCCTGTCCTCTCCTGTCACCTGCAAACAGCATCTCTCCCCAGGTCCCCCAGTTTCAGGTACTGTCTTGGAAGTGGGTTCATGTGGTCTCATGTGGGACCTGCTAATGACCTGGGTGGGAAAACATGCTGCTCCAGACACAGCAGAGGGCCAGCTTGTTCTGGTAACTCCATAAATGCAGTGACACAGCAGTGCGGGTAGAGTAGAAGCATTCACATAGCCTCACACATGGTGCTTCCGTCAATCAGATCCATTCAGACAAGAACAGGGAGAGACGCAAAAAGGGCAGGGAGGAAAGAACGCTGTGTGTACGTGGAGGCAGCTTTAGGCGGTGAGCAGGAGGGTGGTGGGGAGGGCATTGCATCCTGCAGAGCAGCATGTGAAGCACCTGACTTCCCTAGGGGAAGTCAGACCCAACCAGGGTAAGGAAGAAGACTGCAGACATTACCTGCTTTTCAATGCAGATCTGACACTCCTTAAGGGCACAAAAGTATCAACTAATCTTAACTCCAGCTCTCCTTGCAGGGTCTTTCTCAAATAGCTAACACAAGTTCTGAGATGCCCTGGATGAGAACTGAATGATGTCTCCCCTTGACCTTGGGACATGGGTGCATTACCACTGTTTACTCAATTCAGGAAAGCAGGACCCCTGACCCCTTCTACATGCAAACTCTTTTGCTGCCTGCAAGTCACTCAGTGTCTGCCCCACACCACCAGCAGGGGCAGCTCCTGGAGGTGTGTCCAGTGCTCCACCTCCACTTATGTCCTCAGCTTGCACAGCCCTGGGCACACAGAGATACTCAAGGGCCGGCAGAGTTGGGTGGAGGAGGGCAGGCAGGGCCCTGCTGTCCCCCGCAGGACTCTGCCCCACCTCTCTGATCCTAACAGCCTCTGTTCCTGGAGAGCTCCTCCTGCAGGCTGGATTCCAGTTTTCTGGCAGGAATTGTGGAGCAAGAACTGTGTCGACAGCCTGAAATGAGGACCCGTAATTCCCTCGTCCTCACATCCAGGGGGCAAACCATCTGTAAACCAAAAATAAAATCCTAAGGCCCCCGCCATCTAAAGCGACTTCCTCCTCAGCCAGGGCTCTTTTCACGTTTAACTGAAGACACTGTTTCAGGCCATGATAGGAAGAGGCGGTCAGACGTGCCTCATTGTACCTCGCCGTCATTAACATCAACAGAGACTTTAACAAATCCCAAGCTGATAGCGCAGCAGCATCCCCTCTCAGGTGTAGTCTGTGTTTTACTAGAGCCTTTCATGGCTAGTGCTTTAACCTAAAGGTGCGGCTCACTGGAGGACTGTAGGCACCACTGCAGTGATTCCTGGGGAAGGCAGGAGGTAGACAGCATCAGTGCTGAAAGGGAACAAGTGCAAGGATCCTGGGCTCCACCCTCCTCCTTTCCGACACGCAGAGACACTGACTTCTGCGCCAGGACCCAGGTCTCCAAACTGTGCACTGAAGCTCCCTTCCAGCCTCCAGCCCCCCGGGAGGGGCTGCTGGGGCTCTGTCTCAGAGGGTCACCTCACCTCTGTCGCCCCCATAGAACTACAGACTGCAGAGCTCTCTAGATTGGGGCTGACTCACACAATGAGAAAGTTAGCATTAATGCCCAGGCTGCCAGCCTCACAGGGCCACACTCCCAGAATTCTTAATTCTGTAACAAGCTAGGCATTATGGACAAAGATAAAAGTAGAGAACTGTGCAGCCCAGGCGGCCCACAGTGCTCAGGAAATCAGACATGTGAGTAAATTAAAAACCAGTCAACCAACTTGCTTCAGCCATTGATTCCTAGAGGAAAGAATCCCTGGAGGAGATCCTCTAGCTCCACTTAGGCCACGATGGGCCAAGGACAGGGAGGGAGCGCCACCTCCTGGTAGGAAAAGAAAAAACCCAAATGACTTGGCTCAGGAATTTTTGTTAAAAATGTAGGTGCTTGATATCAATTAATACGTCTGCAAGTATTTACAGAGAAGTCACTGTGCTAAGCCCTGTTTCCAAACAGGCCACATAGGGATAAGTTAACTCACTGCAGGAAGCCAGGCACGGCATCCAGGGAACTAGCTGGAGAACACAGCAGCCCAAGGCAACCCCCAGCCCCACCTGTAATGAGCCTGTGGTCTGGGCTGATTACCTCTGCTCCCTGGGCCTCTCTTTTTTTATGGGTAAAGTGAAAGCAGCCAGCTGAATTATCACAAAGGTTTCTTCCAGGTCTTTAATTACTAACATTATCACAAAGATTCCTTCCAGATCTTATAAAAGGCCAGACAATAATATTTACTTTGCCTCTGTGAAGATCTTAAAATATACGACCCACCAACCATGGCTCTGCCACAGCTAAGAACTTGCCTTCCTGGGAAAACAGACAAGGTTCCTGGCAGCTCAGGGATGGTCAGTTTCCCAGTTCTAAAAATGTCCCTGTGTGCTCCACAGACAGCCTTAATTCTTTAGTTCACCCTCCTAGCATATTCCTTGGGACCTCTGGGAAAAGGAAGGTAGCACCCCAAACGCCAGGAACAGCAGAGAAACCTCCAAGGCGCTAGGCCTGGCCATGTGAGAGTGAAGGATTTGTGGTTCAACACGACCCAGCCAAGGAATTACAGTGGAGCCAGACTGTGCTGCAGACTCAGGACCAGCAGAACTTTGGGAAATGATTGCCTTCTGGAAAAAAGGCAAGACCTCTCAGCCAGGACTGGTTAAAGTGGGGCCCTCTGGGGGAGGAGCTAGGCAGAAGCCGACTCTTCCTGCCGCCTTTGCCATTCTGAGCAAGGCAGCCCACAGCAGCTGAGGCTCAAGGGCAAATGAGTCAACAGCTCCGAGCAAATCTTGAGACTGCACACACCCCCCTCCTTGTCAAACACAGGGTGCGCTGTCCTGGACAGGCCCATGGTGTGTGTTGCGGGGGGGTGTGAATAATAACCCAGGTGTGCCTGACCAAGCCCAGGTGGCACCACCTGCGCTGAAGGCCTCCTGTCTTGCCGGGGACCTGCTGGGTGGAGGGAGGCTGTTAGGAGGTTCTCTGGGACCTCAGGAATGCTCCAGTAATCCACCAGTCTTGCTTTGGAGGTCTACACGCTTGCCGAGGCCTGGGTGGAAGTGGACAGGAGTTGAAGAAGCACCATTGTTAGAGCTGGACTGGTGCCCTGGCCACACTCTTGCCCCTACCTAGCTCTGTGACTTTAAGTGCTCGCCCCCAGGTGGGGCTGGCCTGAGCGCAGTGGCAACCTGTGCCCTCCTAACCCACTTCCCTACCCTTCTCCCACATACAGCTCTGAAAAGCCCTGAGAAGGAGACAAACTGCCCAGCACCCAGCTTGTGCTCACAGCCCTCTTGCCCCTTCATTTTCCTATATATCAAATGGTGATGATGCTGGTGCCTGTTGGTTCCCAGGAGCTTAAAAGGAGAGAGCTTTGTGGAAGCAGAAGCGCTCCCCGCATTCCTGCAGCTCCTCTCAGAGCAGGCCCTCAATAATGGCTTCTCTCCCCAGAGTTCAAAACAAGGGAAAAGACACAGTTGTAGGGACCAAAACAAAACTCTATAAACTATGAAGGTCAGCAAGTGACAAAAGTTCTGAACTTGAGGATCATGAATGCTTAAAGGGGCTATGACTGGGAAAGTGATGGAAGCCCCCAAATCCAAGCAAAATTCAGTGTACAGTGTAACAAGTTCTAGGGAGAGGATAGATGCCATCAAAATTCTAAATGGTCCCCCACACATCACACATGCATAGAAACAATTTATATTTAAACAGAACTCTCCATTACAGGAAAACTGTAGGAAAGGCAGAGCAGCTGTCTATCTCCAAAACACCCCAGTGGCCAGGGCGGCCCTCATGGTAATGGGATCCCCTTGCTGTGGGCTCCAGGGAATTCCCAGTTGGGTCCCTGTTCCCTGCCACACTGCCTGGTGGCTCTCCTCTCTCAATGCTGGGATTTGCAGCTATCATGAACACTGCCCAAAGCTAAGGCCAGGTTGGGAGAGAGGCAAGCCCACCGTGGTCACTTGCACAGCACTTGGTGCAGCATGCACTGCAGAGCTGGCTCTTCAGGCCTCCCCTCCCCAGGGCAGCCGGCTCCTTTCCTGTACTTAACTCAGTTTCACAGGCTATTAATTTCCTATTGTATGCCAGGCTTGCTGGGAACAGAATTATTTTAAGACATAATAAAAGCTATTTTTATTTGATCACCATCATTATGACTGCTGTTAAGGAAGAAAAACCCAGGGTATGAAGCAGCCCCTGGGAAAACCTAAACTGGGATCTGGATCCTTGACAATGGCTGGATGAATGAAAGGGGCTCTGCAGATCGGGGAGATAGGCGCAGCCGTCCTTAGACCAAGCGCATGGCTGCTGCCTCCTTTCTACTTTAATATCACCTGGGCTTTTTCTTATTCATCTCATTTCTTATCTTCAACCCAAGATAATTTAAAATGACTAAATCCTGACTCCAGTTTTAGCACTGAATCACCTTCATTCTCTCTCTCCCTCCTTTAGGGAAAAGAATTATACCTCTCTTGAAATAAATTTAATTTCCTCCTGGAGCCTCGACAACACCTTCAACTTCTGATTACCTACTTAGTGGTCAGAAGCTGCTCCAGCCTGGGTCAGACCTTCTGGATTCTACCTTGACTCAGGCACAGGCCACCTGAGGGCCTGAGCTGTTCCACCCCTCCAGTCTCGGTGTTCTTCTCCGAAGAAGGAGGGACTGGATGTAGAGGTCGGAGTCAAAGCACCAGACGTCTGCAGTGATTCTGTGACACGCTTGCAGAAAACTTCAAGTTGCACTCGCAGTGCCACCTAACGACATTTTTTGGAAATGTTTGCTGTTTTCCCAATTTTGAACAAATATTTAATGATCAACATTCTATTCGTTGAGGCAAGAGAGACAGGTAGCCAGGGAAAAGGCCAGCTCCATTTTTTTTGTTTGTTTGAGATGGAGTTTTGTTCTTGTCGCCTAGGCTGGAGTGCAATGGCGTGATCTCAGCTCACTGCAACCTCTGCCTCCCAGGTTCAAGCGATTCTCCTGCCTCAGCCTTCCGAGTAGCTGGGATTACAGGTGCACGCCACCACGCCCAGCTAATTTTTGTAGTTTTAGTAGGGACAGGGTTTCACCACGTTGGCCAGACTGGTCTCTAACTCCTCGCCTCAAGTGATCTGACCGCCTCGGCCTCCCAAAGTGCTTGGATTACAGGCATGAGCCACCACACTCTGCTGGCCAGCTCTGTTTTTATAGGTGCCCACAGGGGCACAAGGAAGTAGAGACAGTGACAATGGTGATCACAGCAGTAACACATCACATGCGTACCACGTGCAGGCACTGTCCTAAGTGCCTTACATGTACTGTAGGAGCTCACTCCATCTTCCCCGAAGCCATGGGAGGCATGCCTCTACAGCTGTCCCCAGTTCACAGATGAGGTGACTGAGGCACTGAGAGGTCATGCGACCACTACTAAACAGTGAGGAGTGGACGCCACAGTGCACCTTCTCAGACCCTCTGCCTTGGGGGTCTGTGTTCTGTGTGCTGACAATGCTTTGCCCTGGACCGCCCTCAGGCAATCACTCCTGCTTGCCTTAACCCTGGCTCAGCTCATCTTCGAGGGGCCAGTGGTTGCTAAACTCACATCCAGGGAGATCTCATTTTGGCTGAGATGGCGGAGGTAAAATGCTCCTATTCCACCCCCAAATGCCTAGCTTGGGTTCCATCTGTTCTAAATGACAGAGGTTGGCCCCCAAGGTGTGACACACACTGTATGCACGAGAAGGGCATTGCAGCAGGTGGCTAGGCAGCCGTCCGCTCTCAGCTACCCCCCTCCCCTTACCGCCACCCAGCCAGCTTCCTCTCAAGGGGAAAAGCTGTTCTCAGCCAGACCTTCCCATTCCACTCCTGTCATCCTCCCAGGGAAGCTCCTATTCCTAAAACTTCTCAGGGGTCCGGGGCTCTAGATGCTGCGAGTGTGCTGCTTGAGCCTTGCTGAGCTAACAGTAGGGCAGGGGACTGAGTCAGTGTTTCCACGTCCTCTAATAAATAATTCTCTGATGCTGAGCACATGGTCATCTCCTGAGGAAAACCCGACCAGATTTGGCTGGGCAGGGCCCCTGTCCGCAGCCTGGTCCAGCACAGTTGACTGCGGCAGCCTTACCTGTTTGTCTGGCAGACCCCATGATAGGCCTCAATGGCATCCTCCTGGTCAACATGCTTTTCACTGTTAGGCCAACTTGCTCTGGCATTAATGTTCGGCTCCTAGAAACACCCCGCCCCCCAAAAATAACTCTGGTGAAACAATTGCCACAAAATGGCTTTAGATACAAACAGGTATAAAAACATGCGTTTGGGAATAGACAAAGGCCTGGGAAGAACAGAGATAACCACAATCAAACCCAGGCCAAGAATATGAGTCCAAAAGGTCACCTTGGATGAGACACAGAATGACGAGGCCCGGCTGAGAGAGAGCTGAGTGCGGGGCAGTGGGGTAAGACAGCCAGGAGGTGCCCGGGGAGGAGGAAGCACCCAAGTCTGGAGCTCACGGGTGAACCTGGCTCAGCTGGAATCCTCCACACTCGTCAGCACCTGCTTACCCCACCCATCCTGAGGTGCATGCCCAGAAGTGGCCCAGCCTTTTAGAGCCCATGGAGTGACCCAGGTGGCCTCTGTCCCCACTCTCTGGCTCTAGTCTGTCCCAGAAAGTGAGAACATTAGGAAAATACACTGAACAAGACTTGCCACACTGGAGGGGCTGAGAGGAACCAATGACTCTCTCCACTTCAGAAAGCAAACAGCAAGGGGTATGATGTGAAAAGGCCACCCCTGAGGTTACCTATTAAATGTCTTCATATTAACTTCAGAAGATTCTAGAAGCTTCTACCTGCATCCCCCAGGGAAGGTTATGCTGACAGGGCAGCAAGTCCCTTGCTCTGCCTTTACAGGAGACCCCGCAGTAAGAGAGACTGCTCTTTCGTGGGTAAAGATACATTAAAAAAACATGAATCTACCACCTAGGATCACCCCTCAACAGCCCCACCGGGGGCCACCATCTTGTTACCGTGTTCCTGCCGGCGAGTCGCCGCTGGTCGGCGCTCACGATCTGGGTCCTGAGGATGAGCACCTCCTCCTTGCGCACCTCGAGCTCCTCGTGGGCCAGCTTGAGCTGGTTCAGCAGGAGGTTGTAGCTGTCTGGGGAGCCATGGCTGGAGTTGTTCTGTGTGGCCTGATCAGCTATGGCTTTCCTCAGCTCATTCAGGTCATTCTTCAGCTTCTTGTTCTCTGACTCCAGCTCTTGCCTCTGGAAGACAGCCCAAGGGATGCTGCCACTACTCCCTGGCCCAGGGACCTCTTCCTGTGTGGGCCTCCCATCCTTCCTTTCTTTTGTCCACTGGGAAGCTTCTTTCTTTAACGTTGAAACACATGGAAAGTTCTGACTGCCATCAGCAAGGAGTCAAAGCTGGGGCCTGGATATGAACTCATGACTCCAAGTCACAGGCGTGAAGCACCTGCACAATGCCTCTGGAGCGCCATTCCCTGAAGTGCTTCAACAGCGCTTGTGTTTCTAAACACGTCTGGCTGTGAAAATCCTCCTTGTGGAAATGCTGGACTAACAATTTTAAAAGGTATATAGTAAACACAGGACTTCCTAGAGTCTGAATATGTTCACATACGTTGTGACTTTCCAAGAAAAGGTACAGAATGCAGGATTTCCTAAATGTATTTGCCCAGAGAACCTCTTGCTCCCTGTTTTTCAGAAAGCATCCCTTTTATCCTGGACTAATGACTTGGAGGATACACTAGGGACACTGTTTTGGTCATATAGAAAGCCACCAACTGTCAACGTCAGCAGAGAAAAACTACCTACACACAGAGTCGAATGTGCTATTGGAACTCAACTTTGGAACATACTTTATATTTTCTGGGCAGTGCATTTAACTTTCGGTTTGAGATGAAGTCTGATAATCACACACAACTGCTGGCAGGACCTTGGCATACATGAGATCCAGAATTTCCCAAAGGAAACCCAAAGATGTGGAAGAGTATATGCACTGGTTGCATGTTTGTTACAGAGCCACAGGATGATGGAACTACGAGACCACTGGGTAGAATGAGTCTCTTTATTTGCTGAGCAAGGAAGCTGAGCCCAGGGAGGGGAAGGCTCACAGCAAGTTTAGAGACTGACCCAGGACAGAGGGCCAGGAATCCCGACTCCTGGGCCAGGGCCCCTTCCATGACTCCACCATATATGTGGTGATTTCCAGAAGATTTAGAACCATGCACAGAGATAGTAACTCTGCAGACATGATGAAGGCTCCAGAATAAGGTGCTTAATACTCAGTGATTACTGATGAGTCACCAAGCCTATGGTGAGTCTATTTACTAAGTTCAGGAGTTAAGGATCCCCTCAGTGCCTGGGTGATATTCTGGTGGCCAAGGCCATCCACAGGAGAGCCAGTGTCACATGCCAGAGGAGCACTGGGTATGGAGACAAAAACGCTGGGTCCTCATCCTGGCTCAAGGTGCACACTGCACAATCCTGGAACCTTAGCCTCCTCGGGTGTGGCATAAGGGAGTGAGGACAGCCGGTGCTTAAGGTTTCCTCCAGCCTTGACCAGCCAGAACCGAGCTTGGTGACAGCTGTCAGCTGAGTGCCTGTGCTGACAGCCACCCAGGCCCTACTGAGCCATGAGATCGTCCCTCAAGACAAAAAGGGCCAGGCTGGGTGAAAGCTCTGGTTGTTTTTCAAGGATTTCTACCCAGGGCATATCTGTGACATTTTTATTTATCCTATCTCTAACCATTCCTGGACACTGTCTCCCCTAACCACACCCTACCGGTCCCACCCATCACCTCTCCTCTCCACTCCTCTTCCCTCCCCCCGAGGCTCACTACCATTTCCGCACCATCCTTTCTGGTCAACAGGGCCAAAAGAATATGCATGCTTTATTGTGGTAAAATATATAACATAAAATTAGCCATCGTACCTATTTTTACATGCACAGTTCAGTGCCATTAAGTTTATTTATGCTGTACAACCATCCCCACCATCCATCTCCAGAACGTTTGCACCTTCCCAGCTGAAACTCTGTCCCCATTAAACACTAACTCCCCATTCCCACACCTCATCTGCTGCAACCATCATTCAACTTTCTGTCTCTGAGTTTGACCCTTCTAGCTACCTCATATAACTGGAAACAGATGAACTTTTGTGAAAGACATATTTTTGATGCACCCAAACGCCATGCCATTCCAGTTGGAGAATTCCCATTCTGTTATCCTCCCTCCCACCAATCTCCATCATCTGCCTTCTTCAGGCCAGGGAGTGTGGTAGATGCTGCAGGCACAACACCTGCTTAGAAGCTATCAATTACACTAAAGTACAGATCATGGCACTGCAGCCTGAAACACACCATGACACAAGTGAATCCAGAGTCACCAGGGAAAACAGAAGAACGCCATCACTGAGTCTGGGGGGTAGGACCTGGGGGAGATAACAAGTCTGACAGCTAAAGGACAGGAGCAGCTAGCTATGTGAAAAAGGCAGGCAAGAGGCTTCCAGGTACAAAGGCCTCAGAGGAGAACAAGCAGGACCTGCTGGGGAAAGCAGTCTGCAGAAGGCAGAGCAGAGGGGGCAGCGCTCAAGAGATGCAGTCGAGAGTCAGATCATTAGGGAGAGCTGCCAAAACCCAGGGAAGGGAGCTGGATCCAGGAAAAGCAGCAAGATGGTCATTGCAGGGCTTCAGAAGGGTTTCCCTGGTTTCCACAGGGAGGTGGGGCACCTGGCTGGAATACAACACAGCATGGCCCATGGCAGGGAGCAGAGGGAGATGTGAATGAGATTTAGGAGGTGGAATTGTCAAGACCTGGAGACTGCTTGGATGTGGGAGATAAGAGGGAACAAAGTCTAGATGCTTGGGTGACATGTATGTCATCTATTGAGACAAGATGGGGTTTCAGGGTTCAGATGCGTTCAGCTGCAGTCCCTACAGAGCAGCGAGCAGTTGGAATCAGGGTCCAGAGATGGATCAGTATGTTGGTGAAGAATTAAGCTTTGGGAGGATATGTGCATGTGTGGGGTGAAGCCGCCCTGGGAGGGTGTGCTGAGGCTGGGCACTGCACACCACGCACTTTAGATTTCCTGCCTCTGGGTCCGGGTAGCTCTGCAGCCCAAGGACTGCAAGCTTCTAGGTTAGCTGGATATTGGACTGGGCAGGAAACCTTTCTATAGAGAGTTTGGGTGTCTGTTTCTTAAACGTCGGTACATACCTGGAGAGCACCCTATGAGGATGATCACTGCAAGGCAGATATTTCACACGGGATGAGCGTTACTGCTGGAGGCAGTTTTGAATAAGGGATCATTGACATTCTATATATAGTCAACACTATACTGCCATTCTGTAACTTTGTAAGATTTAAAACCAGTACAATGGATCCGTGTTCCATAAAACCAGGCTAAAGTTGTGAAAATGGCTCTGTCTTACAAATCTAGCCACAGTAAACAGTAATGGATACGGCTTGTTTCAAAATTCTGAGGAATTTTAATAAAATACTTATGGACAGTCCAGTTCTCTCTCTCAAAAAAAGCCTCATTTCATCACAGGTTTATAATAGCAAAACATGAGAATATATTCATCAATTAGAGAATGGATAATTGTGATAATCATAGAGATGGAGTCTTACTCTGTCACCCAGGTTGGAGTGCAGTGGCACGACCTCGACTCATTGCAACCTCCGCCTCCTGGGTTCAAGCCACTCTCCTGCCTCAGCCTCCTGAGTAGCTGGGACTACAGGTGCGGGCCACCAAGCCCAGCTAATTTTTTGTATTTTTAGTAGAGATGGGGTTTCACCTTATTAGTCAGGATGGTCTCGATCTCCTGACCTCAAGATCTACCCGCCTTGGCCTCCCAATTATAGGTGTGAGCCACTGCGCCTGGCCATGCCATACAATTTTAATCAACCATGGAAATCATGTTTACAAAGAAATTACGTAGAAAAATGTATCAGTGGTGCAGGAGGCTGTGGCTGTCCAGGGTCAGCATTCAACCAAGAAACAAATGGAAAAGCAAAGTGTGGTCCATATACACACAATGGGAAGCAGCCTTAAAAGAAGACTGACACATGCAATGATATAGATGAACCTCAGGACATAATGTTAAGTGAAATAAGCCTGTTACAAAATACAATTCTACTTATGTGCAGAACCTAGAGTTGTCTAATGCAGAGACACTGAAAGTATACTCGTGGTTGCCAGAGTTTGGGGGAGGAGGAAATGGGGAGTTGTTAATGGGTACAGAATTTCAGTTTCAAAAGATGAAAAGAGTTATGGAGACAGATGGCGGTGAGATGCTAGCATAACATTCCAAATGTATTAATGCCACTGAACTGTACACTTAAAAAGAGTTAATTATGATGGTAAATTTTTTTGTGTATTTTACTACACTTTAAGAAATTGGAAATAAGCCAAAGGAATGATTCAAAGCTGCTCTCCTGGGCAATGCAGCTGTTACCAGAGTTATTTATTTATTTATTTATTTATTTATTTATTTATTTATTTATTTTGAGACGGAGTTTCGCTCTTGTTACCCAGGCTGGAGTGCAATGGCGCGATCTCGGCTCACCGCAACCTCCGCCCCCTGGGTTCAGGCAATTCTCCTGCCTCAGCCTCCTGAGTAGCTGGGATTACAGGCACGCGCCACCATGCCCAGCTGATGGTGAAACCCCGTCTCTACTAAAAATACAGAGTTATTTATTTTTTGACAAGTCAAGTGCAGCAGTAAGACGGGGGAGGGAACAGAACAAGGAGTTTGATCTGTAACAGACTGAAAAATCTATTGAGATAACTTACTACCTTCAGACCAACCAGCCAGAGTTATTTGTAGTTCTGTAAGTGACTGGCAGACAGGATAAATTCCCACATCATCCTGTTTTTGAGGATGGAAATGGGTTGGGCCTATCCTGAAACCCCTTTTTCGTGCACTTCTCCCTGCCACGGGGGCCTGCTCACTGTTCTGCCGCGTTGTCTCCCCATGCCGGCAGGAGATGCACCAGCAGGTCCCTCTGCCCTACATCTGCCCATGCAAGCCTTGATTTTTTTCTAAGTGATTTTTAGTGGCCATATTTTAACTGAAATTGTGTTGAGTAGGTAATATATTTATTCTCATTCCTATAGTAGATACAAACTTTCCTTCTTTCCAAAGGTGAATAAATGACAGCATGGAAAGGGGAAGCTACCTGCTTATGGCTCTCCTTGTTAGCAGACTGGGGCTCAGGGCCCAATTTCCTGATGCCCAGCTTTGTCATCTGCCCTCCGCCAGGTGAGAATTCCAGGAAGCTTGTCCCCCAAGAGTCTTACCTTCAGACTATTGTAGGCCAGATCTGCATCCGGGTCCAAATCTATGTCAGTCTGTGGTGGTTCCGCCTGCACAGATGGAGAGACAAAGGTAAGTGTGGACCTTGAGCAAGATATTCCACAGAGGTGTTTCTGACTGAGGCCGAACTTGCTCATTCTGCCTATGAGTGAATATCCAACACCCTAACCCTCTACAAATTCACTTCCTTCCTACCTTCAAAGTGCAGCTCAGTGCTCCAGCCAGCATGAAGTTCTCCATTAACACCTCCCTCCTGTTCCCACCCCTACCTTCACTCACATGGTCCCCACAGGCACTTGTAGGTTGACTACATACAGTACTGTGTTACGGCTTGAATTGTGCCCAAGAGAGATGCCGAAGTCTTTACCCCAGAAACTGGGAATACGACCTTATTTGCAAATAGGGTCTTTGCAAATGTAATCAAGTTAAGCTAGGGTCATTAGGGTGGGCACTAACCCAGTAGAAAGAAGATACAGGGAAGAGGGCCATGTGAGGCAGAGGTGGGGCTGGAGCAGCGCAGCTGCCAGGCAGGGAACACCAGGATGGCCAGAAACACGGGAAGCTGAGAGAAAGGCATGAAGCAAAACCTCCCCAGCGCCTTCAAGAGAACATGGGGTGTCAACACCTGGATTTCTGACTTTGGCCTCCAGAACTCGGAGACAATAAATCGTTGTTTTGTCATCCACGTTGTGGTGTTTTGTTTCAGCAGCCTTAGGAAGCTAACACACTGTAAAACTGCGTCTCTGTTTCAGTCTATAAGGAAGAAGAGCTCCCAATGTGTGTTTCCCAACTAAACTCTAAGCACCTTGCAGAGAGCTGCTTCCTCCATGACACTGCCGCAGGTAGCAAGAGAGCTGGCCCACAACACGCAACATGCTCTGACATCAGAACTTCAAAGCCAGTGCTTGTCTATGGCAATGTCTGGAGTAACAGCTCACTAGGATTCAGCTGAGACAATGATTCCTACAGTTATTTAGCTAATATTAGACTTGGATTGCCAGTGAGAAGGGGTAGAAACAGCTTCATAAATGGTTAACTACTAGGAGTAATTTCAAGTGGGGGATGATGGTCCCTGAATAAGATGGATTTTTGGAGGTAAAAATGAACAGAGCATGTGTTGGATTCTCAGAAGTGGAGATCACCTACTCAGACTCAAAGGGCTCTATTAAGATGGGCTGGCGGTCATATTTTTAAGTGGGCAGCCCATAGGAATCCCCCTATTGGCCAAGGTGACTTTGTCAGGCTTGAGAAAGGGAGGTGGCTGGGTGGGAGGTCAAATGCACCGACCATAGACTGTCATAGAGGCCCCACCCTCATGGCAGCTCAGTCACTCCCATACCGATGGTACATTCAATGGGCTTCCCTGCTGTTCTTCACTCAGTATGTGGCCTCTCTCTGAGGCTGAGACCTGAGCCATCTCTCCACAGAATGAAGACCCAGGTAGCTCAGGATCCCTCTTTGAACCAACAGCGAATCCAAAACTTGACCTTCAAAAGCTCCATTTCAGGGTGCTGTAGAGGGATCCCACATCCTCCCCCAACCCAATCCTGCCTTTCCTTCCTTAAACGGTCAGAAACAAGGCCAGTCTCCCTAAAGAGAGACCCTTAATATACACAACAGAGCTACGGCCTAAGCCTAGAGTTCTAACTATTGTTCAGTGATTATTTTGGAGGAAAAAAAGATATCCTTTTTTATCTGGAATCAAGAGAAGGTCTAAAGCCAAGATTCCAAAATTCACTGGCATGTCTGCAATGGGAGCCTGGAGAATGAATCTTTAGGTACAGCTGGATAGGCCAAGAACTTGTATGGCAGGCACTGTCTGATGTCATCTGTGCAGCTTTTCAGAGGTTTGATTTGCACTTGCCTATCAGGCAGCTTTCCTTCTAATTGAATGAGGCATTTAGAAACCTAATCTTTTTACTTTCCATTCTGAATCAAATCCATCTGAGAGATTTAAACCCATCAGCAAGATTTACCTCCCCATTTACTGCTCAGGGGAAAAATACATACACACATGCACACATAAGAATTTGCTGGCAATATAGATCAGAATCAGCATCACACTTGATTGCAAAGGGAATACAGGTGTTGCAAAAAATGACTGGGCACAGAGGTGGAAGGGGTGGGGACTGAAAACATGGGGTAGGTGTCAAACTCCACAATTAATAATTCGGCCTGAGAACATTCAAAAGGCCTTTTTCAAGCCCACTATGAGGTCAGCTGATGATATAATCCACAGCAAAACTGGCCTTGTGCCCTTTAGAATTGGTTCTTCTATCTTCAAAGAAATAAATGGTTCTTTCCTTCTCAGCACGACTGCTATATTCAATGGGTTCTCTACCCCTAAAGCACCAACCTGTTCACACTCAACTTTGCATTTACTTAAGTGGTACCAATGCTATTTTTTACTTTTCATCAGTGTTACATCTGGTTCTCCCAAACTAGATTTTAACTTCCTCAATGGGGATTTCTCTTACATTAATGAACATTTTGTGTAGCTACTACATGCCTGGCACTGGCATAGTTCTGAGTGCAGCATAGGTGCCCACTAGGTCCTTCAGATGGAACGATTGCTTTTGGGGCTTTTTCCTTTTTTTTTTTTTTTTTTTTTTTGAGACAGAGTCTCACTCTGTCACCCAGGCTGGAGTGCAGTGGCACAATCTCGGCTCACTGCAACCTCTGCCTCCCAGGTTCAAGTGATTCTCTTGCCTCAGCCTCCTGAGTAGCTGGGATTACAGGTGCACACCACCACGCCCAGCTAATTTTTGTATTTGTAGTAGGGACAGGGTTTCACCATGTTGGTCAAGCTGGTCTCGAACTCCTGACCTCGTGATTCGCCTGCTGCAGCCTCCCAAAGTGCTGGGATTACAGGTGTGAGCCACCACGCCCGGCCTGCTTTTGGGGCTACTAAGATTTCAAACAACATCCTTTCTAGACCCAAGAGACTGCTGATAATCCAAACCAAGGCAAGGGAGTAGCCACGGGAGAGTAGGATGAGTGACACTCACTAGGTCTGCCTCTGACCCATAAAGGCTGAACCCAAGCCCCTGCCAGATCCCAGGTATGGAAGGGCAATATCTCCGCGAACATTTGACTTCTGCTGTATTTATACTCATATTACCCACCCTGGTCCTCCTGGCAGAGAGCTCCCCTCCTTGCAAGTAGGTGATGATGCCACAGACTTCCCCCCAGCTTCACCAACTGAAATCCTGTTCAGCTGGGTGGAGTAGGGGTGCTCAAAGAAGACTCAGCCTGACTCCAATGCAATAATAAGGAGCCCTCTGAGACTTGGCAGGAGCATGATCACATGTGGTTACACCTGCCATGTGAGCCCTGGGGGCATGAGCTGCATTGTTCTCTCATCCCAGCACCATAAGAGCACTGCAGCCCCTCACCTACCTGGACTTTCTTGCTGTCCTGCTGTTCTCTCTTCTCCAACTGCACTTGCAGCTTCTTCCTCTCCTGCTCCAGCTCCCGTACTCTCTTCTGCAGCTTCAGGAAGACCGTCATGTCCATGGCTGCCTTCTCCAGGCCGATTTCCTTCAAAGGAAGACAGGCGCAGAAAAATGGTTTCCCTAAATATACGCCTTAAGGGAACACACAGCACCTCACTGCCTCCCTCTCGATCAGCCATCTGTCTCCCCTCTCCTCCAAAACATCAATTTGCATCTCAAATACAAAGCCAATGACAACCAACTAGCATTTCTCATATCAGAGTTGGTGTTCCAGGCTCCTTTTCTGTCCAGATAACATCTCAGCCATTTATATTCCTCTTGTGTGAGCTACTTAAAATGACCAATCATATATTCCAAGAACAAATGGATGAAAACACAGGCATTTTCTTTGGGAGTTAAAAGAGCTCACTTTTGGAAAATGGTCTCACAGCAGAGAAACTACAAAACTTGGGACATAACGCTTCCTGGTGAAGAATCAGCGTGGTTACCAATCACCGGAATGCGCTGTCAACCAACACTTGATTGCACCTTGAAACGGAATCGGTGCTTGCTCTGCCGTGGAACCTATTTATCCAACAGATCTTAAAGCATCTATTTCCCAGATTTTGTTCCTTTTGGATTCATGCCTGGGCTTGCCCTCCAGGACTCTAATGCATGGGGACAGGGGTATACAAACATGTGTATCTGCCTGTGAATGGGTAATGTGTATGAACACATCCACATGGATTTTTAAGCACATGTATGTACATGTGAGAGAACAGAATTTGGTTCCACCAGGATTTAATGAGTGCTTCATGTCTAACTGGCACTGGACCAGTCTTGGCGTCCTTGAAGAACATAAACCCAGTGGTGACAATGCTCATGTCTACATGTAGATAGTCAGACATACAAACACTGGGGTAATAAGCCTGGAGTTGAGGCTGACTGAAGCCTCCAGGGGGCCAGACTTAGAAGACTGCAATGCAAAACCAAGCGCCTCAAGCCAGCACTCGTGCAAGGCTTACTCATGGCGCCCAGCAGCCAGCAAGCCACGACGAACTGCACAACAGATAGGAGAGCTTCAGTCCTGGAGATCGGACCTCCTCCTCTCCCTCCACCCTCTGCTCCAGCATTCTCTATCACTTGTGGTCTTTTATTTTTCTTTATAGCACTTAGCAGTACCTGCGGTTATACCATGTTTCCTCCCTAACTGCTTATTGTCTAGCTCTCTGTCAAACGAGCTTCCTGAGGGCAGGACTTCTCTAGCTTAGTCACCACTGTTTTTCTAGCACTGACCAGCAGAGACTGCACAAAGATATGCTCCAAACCCATTTGGTTTTCTTCTGTCTCTCCTCCATGTCTATCTCCACAGGCTTTATAAGGTGGGGTGTGTGTGTGTGTGTGTGTGTGTGTGTGTTTGTGTGTGTGCACGTGCACATGCACACATGCCTGTGGTTTTCTTTTCAAATGCCAGAGGAAAAATGTTATCTTTTGTACCTTTGACAAAATTACACACAGACTACACAGTCCACTGTGTGGTACATTTAGTGACTGACTCTAAGAGGCTATTACCAACAAAGATACAGTCACCCAGCATACTTTCATTCCAAATATTTGTTGTCCTGAGTTTCATCCAGCTTCTAAGTGAGGGGGGCAATTTTCTTGTGTATTTATAGATATTACTATACGCACTGTGATACTAAGTGGGAATGATAAATTGTGTCTATTTTAATGACTTAGCTGTTTCTTCTTAAACCAACTATTTCACCTCTCTGTATCAGTTTCTTGGTTTTTCAAGAGGAATCAGAGGTCCTCTCTCCTTTCTGGATAGGGCGTAAGGTGAACAATAACGTATTGCTGTGGGCAGTAAGTATTAGCTCCAGAGAACTGCCTCTAAACCCACTGGAATCCAAGTGATCCTGCTCTCAAGAATTAGCCCCTGGGCACTCTGGTCACCACCAGCAGAATAGTAAATCTCTCTTGGGCAGCTCCACAGAGAAAACACACGCTCCCTCGGGAGGAGGACAGCAGCGAAGAGCCCGCATCACTCACCTCCACCTGCTGGAGGGCATCCTCAGTGTCTCCAATCTCAGATGTGGAGATGGAGGGGTAATTGGAGTCAGATTCTAAGCTACTTTGGTTTGATGGGTTCCGTCTATGACCTGGAGTTTGCTGTTCAATGAGAAAAATGTGATAGTTCATTAGAAGCTAATGTTCATAAGAACTTACTTCTCATGGTGGCAGGCCCTAGAGTTATCCTTCTGCCTCATTTGTCAACAAGAATAGGCATCATTGCTTCTCGGAATGATGGCTAAATAGAGCTAGTCCTACGAAACATTTCACCTATAGTTCTTACTGTAGCAATCTACTTTTCATCGCTTAATGAAATGCAAATTCCTCACACTTGGGCCAATTTCTCTGAGAATTCCTAAAAAAACCTTTCACTCCCAGTCTTGCTTTTGACACACATAAAGGCAGTCACATTACCCACCACCCCGTTGAAAAGAATGTTCCACATCTGCCCAGAATGGACCCTCCCTTCAACCTGCACTCCCTAAATTTTATGAAAATAGCAGCATATTAAAAATAGCTTACCATTTATACTGTTCATTTAAAAATACTTTTTTTTTTCCTGCATCTGATTTGGCTTTCAGTGTGAAAACTGAGCTTGGCAGGACAATTTTAGACTTCTAAGGATGTTCCTATTTAGCTTTTCTTCCTGGCTTCTATGCAATTAACTTACTCCATCTTGTTTGAATACTCATTTCTGGAGGAAATGTTTACATGGGGTGAAAAAGAATGACAGATCCTAAAATACAATAAAATTGTCTCTATGTATACTGCATCTCATCAGATTAGGAGACAGATTGTGTCCAGGAATGCTGGATTGTGCCTACTGATCTGATGAGATGCAGTATACATAGAGACAATTTTATGATATTTTATAGGCCCTGTGGGTCTGTAAAATATATAGGCCCTGTAGGTCTCTCTGCCACACACACGTTAATGAAGCTGAGAACTCCCACACCCCATTGCTGTTTCCACGCAGGAATCTTCCCATCACAGGAAACAGGAAAGATAACACACTTGGGTGGAATGTTCCTTAAACTCATAACTGAGGTCTTCACAAGATCCTGAAGTTGGAAAAGGAGCTGTCCGCAGAGATGGATCACCCAGCCCAGCTACTTTTGCCTCTCTGCAGTAATGGCAAGCATTGCGCATACAACACATGGACCGAACATCCCATATCAGAAGGCAGTGTCTGAGATCGGGGGTTGAAAGCCAGACAGGAGCCAGGGGACCCATGCCACGGCACAGCAGAAGCACCCTGCTTGCCTTTATGATGCTCATCTCATCCCGAAGGTTGTCGTATCTCTGCTCCAACTGTGAATATTCCTTCACAAGGTTCTGGTACCGGGATCGCTCCTCCTCCAGCTCTTTCTTCATCAGGAGGTTTTCCTTCACAGAATTCTGGGCAAATTCATCTGGAAAGCAACACGCTAAGCTGCAGTTTTTCTGGATGGACTGCCTCACATGTATTGACTCAAGCTTTCTGATTAATCTCTTGTTAAGAGACTGCCCCTGACAAGCTCATCAGAGGCTTTTGATGAATTTGTTATGCTCCTCACCTACTGCAGAGCAAAGGTGAGGCTCATTACTCTGGCTTAGTATTCAGACAGGGAGAGAAAGAGGCTGCTCTCAGGGAATGGGGAGAGAGAAGTTGTCAGCGTAGGTGAGAATTCCCTCAGTTGATTCCCCAGCCTCTCTTCTGCCAACTGTCACAGCAACTGCTGGCAGCATTCCCGGAAGAACCAAGGCTTATTCCACACTTCTTTTCCTAGTCCTGATCTTTCAGTTTTTGGAATGCAGGGAGATTAAAGGAGACTGGGCTGAAAGGAGGGAAGGCAAACAGACAAGGATGGGCTGCTCCTCTGCCAAAACTTATCATTCACATTAATGGACAGAAAAGTGTTTTAAAAGGAGATTTAAAAACAGTTTATGTTTTCAAAAAGATGTGACATTGGGTGGGGCTATGAGGTCGTGTGGTTCCATTCTCTTGTGACATGAATGAGGAACCTGAGGATTGGAGAAGGGGATTTACTCAAGATCACTCTGAGTCGCAGCAGAAACTGGGGTCTGTGGACTCTTTGCTCCTCCACAGCTGAGTGGTACATGGGGACTGATGGCAGCCCAGGATCTGGTGGGCTGACCTGGGATCTGATTCAGGACCCTTTCTTTAGCAAACATTAACAGATGACCCACTGGGTAGAAGGAACCATGATGGGTGGGTGGATATGAAAGACATGTGTGAAACCCAGTGATGACGACAGCTCCTGAGCACTCACTGCGTGTCATGCACCCTCCTAAGCACTTCACGTGCAGCCTCTTCCTCGTTCCTCCAATCAGCCCCCTGATGTCTAAACCTTTATATCCATGTAGCAGATGAACAAACTGAAGACCTGCTCAAGGCTGCACAGAAGCACACGGCAGTCAGACATCGAGTGCAGGCCTCCCTGACTCCAAGTCCCACGTAGCACACTGCTCATTACGCACGACTCACCTCTTTAGACTCTTGAGGCCGAAGGTCTTAGTAGGATCTTAAAGGTCATTATTCTTTTTTCATCTGCCTCTATTAAAATTCTTTCCCCTCTGTAGCCTCTGGTCTAAATGCATGCTTGCCAGGGGGAAATCAGTGTGGGAAAGAGATTAAAACCCCGAATAAAACTCAGGTGTTTTGGTACTTACCTTTAGACTGGCCCAGGATTTGGTTGTTGAGCTGTTCTTTCTCATCTTTCAAGAGAGCATTTTCTTGCTCCAGGTCTGCAACTCGCTGGAAGAGAGCAGCAGTGGAAAAAAATGTCTCATGATGCTGGAAAGAGGAGAGGCTCCTCTTGTGGGATTTGGATTTTAACTGGATAGGTATAAAGGAGAAAACTGATTTGGTCAAAGCTTCTTTTGTTTTCAAGGAAAAATTGTGTACTGAAAGAAAAATCCCATTAAGACAAGACAGATGAGCTCTGTACTATTTTTGGTCACCTAATGCCCATAAAAGCACCATGAAAAGTCTATCCCAAGCTCACATGCCTTGTTGAGGAACTTACAAAGGTAACAGGCTTTCATGTTTTTGTATTTGTTTGCCTGTAGTACTAAAATTTGAGCTCTCAAATCTGAGTCTTAGGAAGGCCAAAAGCTCACAATGAACAAATTATCTCTGGTCTTCATCCCACTTGCTTTACCTGTCTTATTGGACCAGGATAATTCAAATTCTGGGAAAGACGTGATGACTTGCTATTGACATTCAACTGTCCAATCTAGTGTTGGACTTCAGATGATGCTGACAAAGAAAACCAAAATAAGGTGACTATTACCAGAAAAAAAAAAAAGGCAGAAAAGAAAAACTATTAATTAAAGAAAAATTGTGGTCTACTCAAAGACGAATAAGAATTAAAAATGCAAAGCAAGATTTTTAAAAGTTTTGCTATTTATTACTGGAGCAATAATTTGTATGGATTTTTCAAAAGTAAACATTCAACTGTGTTCTAAGAGAATCTGAAATCATAGTTGGTATAGAGGAGGGGGGAAAAGGGTCTTTTATAACATGGAGGCTAAATTGCAATTGATTCACCTTTGTACTTGGAACCCCTGGAGATTCCTTCTGCAGGAGGCCATCAAGTAATTTTCCCTACTAAAATCACATCCCTGCCTTTTTGACATAGATGAGGACATAGTTGAGCAAGGCAAAAACAGGCAGGGAGAGAACGAATAACACATGCCAGTGCCCCCTCAAAATTCAGGATTACAGACTTGAGATCTCTGTTCCCCCAAGGTTGGCTGATCCATCACCATTACCCACAGAATGATCTCTTGTGATCACATCCTAAGGGTGATATATGGCAAAGACAACATGTTTCATAGCCACACAGACCCTGGGCTCTATAAACCTGTCTCCTCCTCTATAAAATGAAAACCCACTTCACAGGGTTTTTCAGTATTCAACGAGATGACACATGTGAAGCACCAAGCAGCAGGCACTGCATAGGGCAGCTGACTGATAAATGTAGATGGTTCTACATTACTCTTACTGGGCATGAAATGGAAATACATACTTCAAAATCATTCCACCACTTGCCAAAAATTTAAACAGTATCTACTCTTTACAAATTCTTCCAAAAATTAGAAGAGGGAACGCTTCCCAATTCCATTCTATGAGGCCAGTATTACTCTGATACCAAAACCAAACACATCACAAAAAATCTGAAACTACAGCCCAGTATCTCTTATGAATATAGATTGAAAAATTCTCAGTGAAATACTAGCAAATGGTTATGATAAAAACACTCAAACTATAAATAGAAGCAAGCATCCTCAACCTGATAAAAAATCTATAGTTAATGCCGCACTTTATGGTGAAAGACTGCATGCGTTTCCCCTAAGTTCAGGAAGACAAGGGTGTCTGCTCTCGCCACTTCTATTCAGCATTGTACTGAAGCATCCAGAATGAAAAGGAAGAAGTAAAACTACCTCTGTCTGCAGATGACACAATCTTGTATATAGAAAATCCTAAGAAATTCATTTAAAAACTATTAGAACTAATAAATGAGTTCAGATTGCAGGGTCCAACTTCAATATATAAAACTCAATTATATTTCTATATATTTGCAATGAACAATCTGAAAAATAAATTAAGAAAACTATCCCACTATAATGGCATAAAAATACTTAGGAATAAATTTAACAAGTATAAAATTCATACTTGGTAAACAAAAAAACATTATTGAAAGAAATTAAAGAAGATCTTAATAAATGGAAGGACATCCTGAGATAATAGACCAAAACACTTTTTAAGATGGCAACACTCCTCAAATTCATCTACAGATTCAATGTCATCCTTATGAAGATCCTGCATGGCTTCTCTGCAGAAATTCATGAGCTGGTCCTGAAATTAATATGTAATATCTAGGGATCCAGAATACCCAAAGCAATCTTGAAAAAGATGAACAAAGTTGGAAGAATCACAGTTTAAAATTTTAAAACTTACTAGAAGACATGGTAATAAAGACAGTGCGTTACTGGCATAAAGACAGACATACCGATCAATGAAACAGAATTAACTTTCACATTGACAGTCACTTGATTTTTGACAAGGTTGCCAAAACAATTCAATGAGGAAAAGAATAGTCTTTTAATTAAAGGTGCTGGGACAAATGGTTATCTACAGGGAAAAGAATAAAGCTGGACCACTACCTCGCAATATACAAAAGTTAACTCAAAATGCATGAAAGACTTAAATGTAGGAGCTAAAACTATAAAACTCTCAGAAGAAAACAGCAACAAATCTTTGTGACCTTTGGATTAGGCAGGATTTTCTTAAATACAATGCCAAAAGCTCAAGGAACCAAACTAAAAATAAATTCAACTTCATCAAAATTTTAAGTTTTTACACTTCAAACCATCAAGAAAGTGGAAGGGCAACCCACAGAATGGGAAAATGTATTTTCAAATCACATATCTGATATACCAGTGGTCCCCAGCCTTTTTTGGCACCAGACATGAGTTTTATGGAAGATAATTTTTCCACGGACAAGGGTCGGGGGGAATGGTTTCAGGATGATTCAAACAATTTACATTTATTATGCACTTTATTTCTATTATTATTACATTGGAATATGTAATTAAATCATTATATAACTCACCATAATGCAGAATCAGCGGAACCCTGAGCTTGTTTTCCTGCAACTAGATGGTCCCATCTGGGGGTGATGGGAGACAGTGGCAGATCATCAGGTATTAGATTCTCATAAGGAGTGTGTAACCTAGGTCCCTCACACATGTAGTCACAACAAGGGTTTGTGCTGAGAATCTAATGCCATGGCTGATTTGACAGGAGGCAGAGCTCAGGCAGTAATGTGAGCTATGGGGAGTGGCTGTAAATACAGAAGAAGCTTTGCATGCCAACAACTCACCTCCTGCTGTGCAACCTGGTTCCTAATGGGCTAAAGACCAGTACTGGTCTGTGGCTGGGTGCCTTGGGACTCCTGTGACACATGACTTGTAGCATGAATATATAAAAATCACTTGCAACTCAACAAAGAGACAACCCAATTTAAAAAATGAGGCAAAGAACTGAAATAGACATTTCTCCAAAAAAGATATACAAATGGACAATAAACATATAAAAGGCACTCAATATCTTATTAGGGAAATACAAATCAAAGCCACAATAAGATACCAGTTCACGCTTACTAGGATGGCTATAATAAAGACAGACAATATCAAGTGTTGGTGAGAATATGAAGAAATCAGAACCCTCATACACTGCTGGTGGGAATGTAAAATGATGCAGCCGATCTGGAAAACATTCTGGCAGTTCCTCAAAAGGTGTAACACAGAGTTGCCATGTGACCCAGCAATTCCACTCCTAGGCATATACCCAAGAGAAATGAAAACCTAGTCCACACAAAACCTTGTACACAAATGTTTGTAGCAGCATTATTCATAAGAGCCAAAAAGTGAAAACAACCCACATATCCATCAACCAATGAATATAGTATATCCACGCAATGAAATATTATGTTAATAGAAAGGAATAAAGTACTGATCCATGCTATGACATGGATAGCTCTTGAAAGCATTATGCTAAGCAAAAGAAGCCAGTCACAAAATATCACATATTGCATGACTCCGTTTATATGAAACGTCCAGAACAAACAAATATCTAGACAGAAAGTAGATTTGAGGTTGCCTGGAGCGAGGGTGGAGAACTGGGCAAATGGGTATGCTTGCTAATGGATACAGAATTCCTTTTTGTGGTGATGAAAATTTTCTAAAATCAGACTGTGGTGATGGTGGCAAAACTCTGAATATATTTTAAAAACCAATGAAATAGGCCGGGCGCGGTGGCTCAAGCCTGTAATCCCAGCACTTTGGGAGGCCGAGGCGGGTGGATCACGAGGTCAAGAGATCGAGACCATCCTGGTCATCATGGTGAAACCTCGTCTCTACTAAAACTACAAAAAATTAGCTGGGCATGGTGGCATGTGCCTGTAATCCCAGCTACTCAGGAGCCTGAGGCAGGAGAATTGCCTGAACCCAGGAAGCGGAGGTTGCGGTGAGCCGAGATCGCGCCATTGCACTCCAGCCTGGGTAACATGAGTGAAACTCCGTCTCAAACAAACAAACAAACAAACACCAATGAAATATACACTCTAAATGGGAGAACTGAATAGTATGTGAATTATATTCAATAAAGCTGTTTAGAAAATCATTCCACAAACAAAGCATTCTATTAAGCATTGCACACTGTGCTAGGTGTGGCAAAAGATAAAAAGTTGAGTAGTAAGAAGGCTTCTAGGTTTTGGTCTGAGTGGCCAGCCTCTCCAATATGACGAGCAAGGCTGCACTGACTGACACAAGGAACCACCTCCCCCTTTCTAGCCCAAGTCACGGGATCCAGTCATCTTCTGGAGGACTCGTCTCAACCTGTGTAGAAAGAGTCTCAAAAAGTGACATCCTCAGTACAGTACCACGACACATAATGACTAGCATGTGTGCAGTGGCAGAGGGACTCACTGGTGACTACTGGGATTGCAACCTAGAAGATGACCATGTGGAGTGGAGGACAGATGACCATACAGACCCAAGGACTCACCTGCACACCCATCAGAGAATCACCTTCCCAACTCTTCTAGACTTTATGGCACTAAAACCAAGAAAGGCAACTCTAGGAATGTGGACTAAGCCAGCAGAAGCCTGCATGAGGTTTGAATTTCAACTGGGTACAATGCTTAAATGCTATCTTTCCTTCCTCTCCTAGTTTTAAATTAAGCTCAA